CGAAGTTAGCTTTCTTTTTATACCCTTGCAGAGGGTATTATAATTTTGGTCAAACGTGTGCAACGCAGTGAAGGAGCCATCTCCGACCCTATAAAGTATATATATTCTTGATCAGGATCACCTCCTGAGTTGATATAGCTATGTCCGTCTATCCGTCCGTCCGTCTGTCAGTCTGTCCGTCTGTCTGTTTCTACGCAAACTAGTCTCTCAGTTTTAAAGATATCGAATTAAAACTTTGCACACACCCTTCTTTCCTTTGCACGCAGTATATATGACGGAACGGCCGGGATCGGCCAACTATATCCTATAGCTGCCATATAGCTGAGCGATCGGAAATGCAATAACTTTGGTGTTTGTTAAGTTAGGAAGTTGGGATTTTTATGAGTGTTAAGAATGCATCATATGAATAATTTCGGAGAATATAATTTACAGAGTATTCTGCAAGGGTATATCAACTTCGGCTCCGCCCGAAGTTAGCTTATAATAATTATAATTTTGGTCAAAAGTGTGCAACGCAGTGAAGGAGACATCTCCGACCCTATAAAGTATATATATTCTTGATCAGGATCACCTCCTGAGTTGATATAGCCATGCCCGTCTGTCCGTCTGTCTGTTCCTACGCAAACTAGTCTCTCAGTTTTAAAGCTAGCGAATTGAAACTTTGCACACACCCTTCTTTCCTTTGCACGCAGTATATATATGTCGGAACGGCCGGGATCGGCCAACTATATCCTATAGCTGCCATATAGCTGAGCGATCGGAAATGCAATAACTTTGGTGTTTGTTAAGTTAGGAAGTTGTGATTTTCTATGGGTTTTATTTTTGGCCAATCAATCCGACTTACCAAATTTCATAAGGATCGGCCGACTATATTCTATAGCTGCCATATAACTGAACGATTGGAAAGTGTTTTTAAAGTTAGGAAGTTGGGATTTTTTATGACTATTAAGAATGCATCATATGAATAATTTTGGAGGATATAATTTACAGAATATTCTGCAAGGGTATATCAACTTCAGCTCCGCCCGAAGTTAGCTTTTCTTTCTTGTTTTTTTTTTGTTGCTGTTTTTTTTTGTCATTAAACAAAAGCCCTTCTTTTCGGCGGCGCATGTGATTTCCGCTCACTGGAACATCTGAAACCAAAAATTCCAACGGAATTAGGAAGAGTACATGCTTGGCTGTGGCATAAACTAGGATTATTATTTTCACACAAAAATTAACAAAATGGCAGACCTTTGAAATCGCCATATTTCAGCCTCAAATTAAGCTGAAAAGTAAAGAAGATCTTTGGAACCGATTGGATCAATAGTTTTTGAGTAACCTCATGCGCCAGTCGTAAAAATACTGTTTTGAGAAAACCGCGGTTTACGTTTTGAGAAGCTCCCGCCGTCGCCATCATGATAATTTCGGAACCAGTTTTCATTGCTATTAATACCCCTAGGAAATTATATGATTTTGATTTTTGGTCCATTCGCGGCCAAACTTCTTGTTCAGATAAACATGTTATTGGGGTGCAGTAAAATTAACATATTGCAAATTTCGATAATTTGTAGATGAGAATACATTATTCGCTATTGTTGGCCATTGAGCCCGCCATTAACAATATATTGCGGTCAACTGCAGTTGACAACAACTTTCACTCAGTCGATTAATTATTAAGTGTCTACTGATTAGAGACATTAGGGCTGTCAACGGACTACACCAACAAACTGACACATTGTTTTTAACTGTCTGATAGAGTTCGTTAGTCACCCACATTGGAAGCCTGCGAAAACTATTGATTAGTGTTTGAATAATAGATGCAGATTGTATGTTAAATAGGGGCGACAAGAGGGCTAAGGAATCGAGGTTATCTCTAAAATACTCCAATAGGAAAAGCAAATGGGAGAGAAGCAGGATGGAAGAAATGGTTACCGACCGAGTGCGAAGTCGAAAAATGCAGTCAGGCGTTAACTGTTGATGCTCTGATTGTAGAGCACTAACGATTTCGTTCCTTGAATCGCTTTAAATTTACATTTAATGAGGTTAAAGTGCGACCAAGGTGCGAAAAAATGCAGAGTTAAGCAGGTACTTAGGGTTTCACAGTGATTTTAAGTATCGCAAAGTGAAATCAAATGCAAATTGCATGCAAAAGTTGTGCTAGTGGTTTGATATTGATCTGTGGATTATGCTAATGACATCGCGGAAAAATGTTTGCGGAGAAACCGACCGAGAAGCAATCAAATAATCAGAGCCAAAAGCTAAATTCTACACTGTTGTATACCCTTTTAAATATATTTAGTTTTTGGGATTTTTTCCCCCAACAACGAGAAAAGTACTTTTTAAAAAACTAGAACTGCCATTGGAAAAATCATGGCAAAGGGAAATACAATTATAACTATGTTCTTTTTTAAAATATACCCATATATACACTCTGAATTATAACAATTAACAGTTTCAGAATTAGTTTAAACAAGAAAGGAAGCAAACTTCGGAAAGCCGAAGTTTATATACGCTTGCAGTTATTAAACAACAACTACATTTGCATTTCTATGCCTATATTACGAAATCCAATGAAGCAATGTCGAATCTAAAAGTGTAATTCTCATATAGTAAAAAATTACTATATCTCAAAGGAATATTTTGATAAATAAAAAAACAGGAATACACAAATTTTTTAATTTTTTTTTTTAATTTATTGATTTTTCTATGGGAATTATATGATATAGATGTCCGATTTTAATTTAATTAAGCCCGTAATTACATAGTATTTAAATACTACCAAATCCCAAATTTTAAAACCAAAAAGTTAACATTTTTGGAATTTTTTTCTTGTTGTTCCTATGGGAGCTATATGATATAGTCGCCCGAGCCGTTCCGACTTATATTCTACCTGCATTAAAAATACAACTTTTGGAAAAGGTTCAAAGCTGAGAGACTAGTTTGCGTAGAACCATGTCTCCTTCACTGCGTTGCACATTTTTGACTGAAATTATAATACCCTCTACAAGGGTATAAAAGTGACCTCAATTTAAACTTATTTTCAACAAGAAAGGAAAGCTAACTTCGGGCGCAGCCGAAGTTGAAATACCCTTGCTGAATATTTTGTAAATTATATTCTCCAAAACTATTCATATGATGCATTCTTAACACTCATAAAAATCCCAACTTCCTAACTTTACCAAAGTTATGGCATTTCCAATCGTTCAGTTATATGGCAGCTATTGGATATAGTCGGCCGATCCTTAAGAAATTTGGTAGGTCGGATTGATTGGCCAAATATAAAACCCATAGAAAATCCCAACTTCCTGACTTTACAAACACAAAAGATATGGCATTTGTGATCGTCCAGTTATATGGCAGCTATATGATATAGTCGTCCGGTCCCGGCCGTTCCGACTTATATACTGAAAGAAGGGTGTGTGCAAAGTTTCAATTCGATATCTTTAAAACTGAGAGACTAGTTCGCGTACAAACAGACAGACAGACGGACGGACAGACGGACATGGTTATATCAACTCAGGAGGTGATCCTGATCAAGAATATATATACTTTATAGGGTCAGAGATGTCTCCTTCACTGCGTTGCACACTTTTGACCCTGTCCGTCTGTCTGTTTCTACGCAAACTAGTCTCTCAGTTTAAATTGAATTGAAACTTTGCACACGCCCTTCTTTTCTTTGCACGCAGTATATATGTCGGAACGGCCGGGATCGGCCGACTATATCCTATAGCTGCCATATAACTGAACGATTGTAAATGCCATAACTTTCGTGTTTTTAAAGTTATGAAGTTGGGATTTTTATGGGTGTTAAGAATGCATCATATGAATAATTTTGGAGATTATAATTTACAGAATATTCTGCAAGGGTATTTCAACTTCGGCTCCGCCCGAAGTTAGCTTTCCTTTCTTGTTTGAAAATATTTTTGGTATAAATCTGTAAATTATGCAATCTTTATTTAATGAAGTGATCAAACTAGTTTATGGCAAGTGCAAATTCTTTGAATAGCCTTTAAGATCCAAGGCTTGAGCTCAGCCACGTCGGCATAGACTCAAGGGGAATATGGATCCGCACAGTCTCTTCCGAAGGAGACTATTCCTACCAACGTGCCATTAAACACCAAAGGACCTCCAGAGTCCCCAGAGCAAGAGTCTTTGCCCGGAGCAGCGGCACAGATCATATCATTGCTAATTCTTCCGTAGTATGAACTTCGGCAGGCATTCTGATCCACGATGGCTACCGTGGTCTCTAGTAGAAAGTCAGATCTGGATTCGATGAGCCCACTCTTACCGAGAAAGTAGCAGATTTATCGACACAGTGAGCTGCCGTTATAACTACATTCTCGCTATATATGACCGCGCCCAGTCATGGATGCCATTTTTAAGGAGGGAACCGCTTCAATCGACACCGAATGACCTCCCATGAAGCGTTCCGGAATCCATTTGGAGGAGATCAGAGTAGCGCTGGAGATCAGGAAAATCCACTGGACGAACATTTTGAACTATAGTTTAAGGAATGAGTTACTTAAAGTTATATGATCCACTCTTTTATACACCTTTTAAAAATAGAAAGTGGAATGTTATTGAATATTCGTATATTTAAGGTATGTGGCTTGTACTGCCATTACAAAAATACTTTGCTAACAAACTACATTTAGTTTTTCAGTGCTTAGTCAGCCAAGCTTAGTCCAAAATTCTGAAAAAAGAATCCAATTAACGTGTTAAAGCGGTTGTCTGATAAAATTAAATGGAGCTGCTTGTTTGTTTAGAAAAAAAGGAGTTTCTGAACCTATTTTTGGCTAACAAAGTTTAATCTGGTAAAACTATATCCGGAAAAGAAGTTTCTAATTATTAAAAAAACATCAGGCTTTTAATCTTTTCATTAACATTCCATTCCTATTTTTACATTTATAATATTAAATTATATGTTTATTTATATGTTTGCCGTTGGCAAAGCAAATTTGTATAAAAGAGTGGATGTTATACCTTTAAATCACTCATTCCTTAAACTCTAGTTCGAAATGTACGTCCATTGGATTTTCCTGATCTACAGCGTTACCCTGGTCTGCTCGAAATGGACTCCGGAACGCATAGTGGGAGGACATTCGGTGTCGATTGAAGCGGTTCCCTGGCAGGCTTCCCTCCTTAAAAATGGCATTCATGACTGCGGCGCGGTCATATATAGCGAGAAAATAGTTCTAACGGCAGCTCACTGTGTCGATAGTCCTGATACTTTCCAAGTGAGAGTGGGCTCATCGATTTCGAATTTCGGTGGTCAAGTCGTGAATGTCTTGCGCATCATAAAACATGAGCAGTTTGGGCGTTACTATGGAATATCACATGACATTGCAGTGATCAAACTTCAGACTAGTCTTCGAATGGGCTGCGGTGTGAGCTCAATTCCTTTGGCCAATAGTTATCCGCGACCTGGATCATTAGTCTCGGTTTCTGGATGGGGACGGACCAGAACCTATGGGAAGGGTTCTGACTTTCTATTAGAGACCACGGTTGCCATTGTTGATCAGAATGCCTGCCGAAATTCATACTATGGTCAAATCACCAAGGAAATGATCTGTGCCGCTGCTCCGGGGAAAGGTGTCTGCAATGGGGATTCAGGAGGTCCTTTGGTGTTCAATGGCACACTGGTAGGAATAGTCTCTTTCGGAGGAATATGTGCTCATCCATATTTTCCTGGAGTCTATGCTAACGTTGCTGAGCTCAGGCCTTGGATATTAAGGGCTATTCAAAGACTTTAATGACGGTAGAAATTACTTTGATCACTAATTAAATAAAGATTGAATGAAATAAAGGATTATAGAAAACAAGAATGGAAGAAAAATTCAGCAAGCCGAAATGTATATACCCTTGCAGTTATTACAAAATGACTACATTTCGATTTCTATGGCTCCATTATTAACAAGAAAAGAAGCATACTTCGGCAAGCCGAAGTTTATATACCCTTGCAGTTATTACAAATCGACTACATTTTAATTTATATGCCTAAAAACAATGAAGCTGGTGTCGACTTTGCGCTGCATTTTGCCGTCGTTTCTATGGCAGCTGTATGATATTGTTGTCCGATTTTAATTAAATTAAAACCGTAATTCCATAATATTTAAATATTACCAAATCCCAATGAAAAATAAATAAAAACAAAGTAATTTTTTTCCGATTGTTCCTATGGAAGCTATATGATATAGTCGCCCGATTTGGCTCGTTCCGACTTATATACTACCTGCAATAGAAAGACAACTTTTGGGAAAGTTTCAGGCAGATAGCTTTAAAAGTGAGGGACTAGTTTGTTGTATTTTTGTTGTATTGTTTTCAACTTAAATGTAATAGTATAATTAATATTTATGTCGGCGTTTTTTTATAATGCTAAACATCAAGATGTTTTATTTAAAATTCCAAACTTCGTCTTCTGTCAGGCTTGCTTAATGATGTTGTTAAATATATAAACATTTTTATAAAATTATATATAAAGGAATTAGTAATAAGGATGGGAATTTTCTCCTTCTTAAAATTGTTATATATGTAATTTATATAAATTAATTCATAATTTTCATATAAATTTATAATTTTCATATACATTTATTATTTTCATATAAATTTAAAGGATATTAATTTTCTCATTCCTTAAACTATTTAAACAAAACTGATTATACTTTCTCGTCTTCTTAAGTTAATACATACGAATTTAAGGGACTTTTTATTTGCGAAGAAATAAGTAAAATTTGTTAGCCATTCTAAAAGATATTACAAAAAAAATATTTTCTTAAATTCTATAATAATTCTATAAGTGTCGCAAATTAAGTTTTGAAAATCACAATTTATCAAAATTAAAAGCCATTAAGTATGCTTAACGAAAAAAGTTATAAAAATTAATATATATTTAAATAATCCCCAAAGTATTAAAAGAAAATATATATAATTGTTTATTTATTTATTTTGTGTCGTCGAAAGGTTAGATCTTATGTCCGCAAAAAAAAATTACGGCAAAAACATAAATAATGGTCAAGATGTTCAAAGAGCAAAACAACATTATAAATTGGTAATTACAAAATAAAGAGCAAACAAAAATACCAATCAAGTCATGAAATTAGCAAAGGGAACTGAAACAAGAAAGGAAAGCTAACTTCGGGCGGAGCCGAAGTTGATATACCCTTGCAGAATACTCTGTAAATTATATTTTCCAAAATTATTCATATGATGCATTCTTAATACTCATAAAAAATCCCAACTTCGTAACTTTAAAAACACCAAAGTTATGGCATTTCCGATCAATCAGTTATATGGCAGCTAGAGGATATAGTCGGTCGATCCTTATGAAGTTTGGTAGGTCGGATTGATTGGCCAAAAATAAAACCCATAGAAAATCCCAACTTCCTAACTTTACAAACACCAAAGTTATGGCATTTCCGATCAATCAGTTATATGGCAGCTATAGGATATAGTCGGCCGATCCTTATAAAATTTGGTACGTCAAATTGATTGGCCAAATACAAAACACATAGAAAATCCCAACTTCCTAACTTTACAAACACCAAAGTTGTGGCATTTCCGATCGTTCAGTTATATGGCAGCTATACTATATAGTCGGCCGATCCTTATAAAATTTGGTACGTCAAATTGATTGGCCAAATGTAAAACCCATAGAAAATCCCAACTTCCTAACTTTAAAAACACCAAAGTTATGGCATTTCCGATCGTTCAGTTATATGGCAGCTATAGGATATAGTCGGCCGATCCCGGCCGTTCCGACTTATATACTGCGTGCAAAGGAAAGAAGGGTGTGTGCAAAGTTTCAATTCGATAGCTTTAAAACTGAGAGACTAGTTTGCGTAGAAACAGACAGACGGACAGACAGACGGACAGACGGACAGACGGACATGGCTATATCAACTCAGGAGGTGATCCTGATCAAGAATATATATACTTTATAGGGTCGGAGATGTCTCCTTCACTGCGTTGCACACTTTTGACCAAAATTATAATACCCTCTGCAAGGGTATAAAAATTAAAAATAAAATTAAAAAATTATTTATTTTGCTGTTTTTGTTATTTATCAATATATTCCTTTGAGATATACTAATTATTTACTATATCCGAATTACTCTTTAAGTTTTGTCAAAACCGGACTGCAATATCATATAGCTGGCATAGAAACGATGACAAAATGCAGCGCAAAATCGACATAGCTTCATTGTTTTTATACCCTTGCAGAGGGTATTATAATTTTGGTCAAAAGTGTGCAACGCAGTGAAGGAGACATCTCCGACCCTATAAAGTATATATATTCTTGATCAGGATCACCTCCTGAGTTGATATAGCCATGTCCGTCTGTCCGTCTGTCCGTCTGTCTCTTTCTACGCAAACTAGTCTCTCAGTTTTAAAGCTATCGAGTTGAAACTTTGCACACACCCTTCTTTCCTTTGCACGCAGTATATATGTGGGAACGGCCGGGATCGGCCGACTATATCCTATAGCTGCCATATAACTGCTTGATCGGAAATGCCATAACTTTGGTGTTTGTAAAGTTAGGAAGTTGGAATTTTATATGGGTTTTATATTTGGCCAATCAATCCGACCTACCAAATTTCATAAGGATCGGCCGACTATATCCTATAGCCGCCATATAACTGATTGATCGGAAATGCCACAACTTTGGTTTTTGTTAAGTTAGGAAGTTGGAATTTTCTATGGGTTCTATTTTTAACCAATCAATCTAACCTATCAAATTTCATAAGGATCGGCCGACTATATCCTATAGCTGCCATATAACTGAACGATTGGAAATGCCATAACTTTCGTGTTTTTCAAGTTAGGAAGTTGGGATTTTTATGAGTGTTAAGAATGCATCATATGAATAATTTTGGAGAATATAATTTACAGAATATTCTGCAAGGGTATTTCAACTTCGGCTCCGCCCGAAGTTAGCTTTCCTTTCTTGTTTATATATAATTTATGATATAGTCGCCCGATCCGTCTCATTCCGACTTATAGAAAGACAACTTTTGGGAAAGTTTCAAACAGATAGTTTTAAAATTAAAAGGCTAGTTTGCCTAGAAACGGAAGAACGGACAGACGGACGACATGGATCGGCTCTTCTGGTAATGCTGATCAAGAATATACATACTTTATAGGGTCGGAAATGTCTCCTTCACTGCATTGCAAATTTTTGACTGAAATTATAATACCCTCTGCAAGGGTATAATAATATTCAGCTTTCCGAAATAAGCTATCTGGACTGTTAATTAAAGCCACTCGCTAATCTCAATCTTACATTAATGTCACTGCTTAAATCTGCTTTTAAATGAAAGTTTCTAAGCTGTCCTAGACCGCCTCAAATCTGTGTTAGTTGAAATGCAGCCAATGACTTTCGCGCTGCCAGGCACAGGAATAGTTCAAAGCCCAACCACAGTCAACAAAATTATACTCGAATTCGAGCATTTTCACTAATTAAACTGACACGAAAGCCGCAACACAGTCGGAAAACCCAGCTTTGAGTGAACCCCATTCGTATGCTGGTGCCACAGATTTTCATTTTTTGGTCTATAGAAAATGAGAATTCGTGTGCTTGGCAGCCGCTTGATGACTGTGGCTGCCTGTAGATTTGTTTTTGGGTTGTCCCGCCAGCCCCACTAACGTCTCTGGCAAAACTTTTTTTTGTTTCATTAGCACTCACCTGAGCGAATTAAAGATCCAAACGTTTGCCAGACGACTCTAGCCCCGTTTCCTGCAGAAATCCGGCGACGACGGGGCAAGGCTGCCGCTCGTGCAGACGCAGTGCAGCAGCAGTGACCCGCTGCGTGTACGCCGCAAGAGGGACACTCGAATTGCCCGAGCTTCCTCCAAGCCACCGCCGGTAAGTGTACTCCGGGTCCGTGTTCCAAAACTTGTGGAAGGAAACGGGCGGCTGCAGCAGCAGCAGCTCCTCGGCGTAGTCCTGCGGACGAGCCTGGTGCATGCCAGCAGCCGGCACCGCCGCCACGCCGAGCGCTTGGAGGCAGTAGCCCAGGATCATGTCGTCGGGGGCACTCGCACTGGGACAGGTGCAGCGCTCCACGATGAGCCGCACCAGGGGCAGACTGAGCAGGATGCCGGCCCCTCCCGTGTGGTAATTGAAGCCGTCTGGGGCGCGCAGCCGGTAGCCATACCTCTGGCCCAAATACACGAACTCCGTGTGGTTGTGGCAGCTCAGTAGGGCGCTTACTCGGGGCACACTGTGGGGAAAGGGGGCAGGAATCAGAGGCGGAAATTGCAAGTGCCCGATGAGTCGGATATATCAATATAAATATTTTAATTGAATGCTCCATCATGCATTTGAGCCGGAAAATAAATATGAAAACGAGAAATGAAATTGAAGCCGGGCAGACAAGGTTCGTATACCCTTGCAGTTATATTATTTGGCCAGTTCGTGAATTTGCCTTGAACGTTTCTATAAAAGCTGTGGGATATAGTCTTCACAAGAAAACAACTTCAACTGCGTTGCAAGCGATGTGCACATTTCCGACCCTATATTCTTGATCAGCGAGTCGATCTAGCTATGTCCGTCTGTCCCACCGTCCGTCAGTCCATCTTTCCGTTTTTACGCAAACTAGTTCCTTTGCAAGAATAAGTTTGCCGTCTTTCTTTTCTGGGATTAGAACTTTTCTGGTATTTATGATTTACAAAAGGAACCTGTTTGACTATATGATGTCCGTTTATTACTTTCTAAATCTTATTTGTTTATATGTATATAAAAGATCGGATAAAACTAGCTGATCTTGGTTATTTTAGAAGAATTATGCTTTCGTTGTTATACCCTTGCAGAGGGTATTATAATTTTGGTCAAAAGTGTGCAACGCAGTGAAGGAGACATCTCCGACCCTATAAAGTATATATATTCTTGATCAGGATCACCTCCTGAGTTGATATAGCCATGTCCGTCTGTCCGTCTGTCCGTCTGTCTGTTTCTACGCAAACTAGTCTCTCAGTTTTAAAGCTATCGGATTGAAACTTTGCACACACCCTTCTTTCCTTTGCACGCAGTATATAAGTCGGAACGGCCGGGATCGGCCGACTATATCCTATAGCTGCCATATAACTGATTGATCGGAAATGCCATAACTTTCGTGTTTGTAAAGTTAGGAAGTTGGGATTTTCTATGGGTTTTATATTTGGCCAATCAATCCGACCTACCAAATTTCATAAGGATCGGCCGACTATATCCTATAGCTGCCATATAACTGATTGATCGGAAATGCCATAACTTTGGTGTTTGTAAAGTTAGAAAGTTGGGATTTTCTATGGGTTTTATATTTGGCCAATCAATCCGACCTACCAAATTTCATAAGGATCGGCCGACTATATCCTATAGCTGCCATATAACTGATTGATCGGAAATGCCATAACTTTGGTGTTTGTAAAGTTAGGAAGTTGGGATTTTCTATGGGTTTTATTTTGGCCCAATCAATTCGACATATTAAATTTCATAAGGATCGGCCGACTATATCCTATAGCTGCCATATAACTGATTGATCGGAAATGAAATAACTTTGGTGTTTTTAAAGTTAGGAAGGTGGGATTTTTTATGAGTATTAAAAATGCATCATATGAATAATTTTGGAGAATATAATTTGCAGAATATTCTGCAAGGGTATTTCAACTTCGGCTCCGCCCGAAGTTAGCTTTCCTTTCTTGTTTTTAGCTTAATATTAAGTTTTTATATCGTTTAGCTGTCATAGTATACTTGCCAAATCTAGCTTTCGTTTTTGTTTGTTCTAAAATCAAAATAGAAAAAAAGTTGGGGAAAAGGCACCATATACTTGTATTTTAGAAAAAACAAGAGAGAACGCTATAGACGAGTGCCTCGACTATTAGATGCCCGTTACTCAGCTAAACAACTTAATATAAATATGCCTTCTTGTATGTTTTTCGCCGCTCGAATTAGCACCTTGGCCAGCTGTTTCAAAGTCATCCGTTAGATGGCGCTACCATGGTACCACGGGCCATGAAAGGCGCTAGCCAGGTTTAAGCGTTTAATGGGTTTTTGGGCGTTAGAGTGGGCGTGGCAAACTTTTATTAGGCAAATCGATAGGTATTGACGAAACAAATACAGAAAATTAAAATTTTCATAATATCATCAAAACTGTGGCCACAGCTTGTGGCTTGTGGGCGTCAGAGGGGGCGTGGCACCATTTTGAAACAAACTTGCGCTGCGTAGGAACTCCTAAAATCTACATGCAAAATGCCAATCTTCTAGCTTTTATAGTTTCCGAGATCTCAGCGTTCATATGGACAGACAGACAGACGGACAGACAGACGGACATGGCTAGATCGACTCGGCTAGTGATCCTGAACAAGAATATATATACTTTATAGGGTCGGAAACGCTTCCTTCTACCTGTTACATACTTTTGCACGAATACAATATACCCTTTTACTCTACGAGTAACGGGTATAAAAAACCTTCTCAACATTTAAGAAAATAATTTTTTCTTTTAATATTTTTTCTTTTCTAATTTAATATTTTTAATATTTTAGTTTTTATTTACTACTTTAAAAAAGGTAACCTTAAGGGAAGAAATGCCATATTTTACAGTTAAAGAAAATAATTTTAATTTTAAAAACATCGCTTGTTTTTCTTTGTTTCAAAGTTAACGAAGTTAATGACTGATTTTAAGAAAGATTCAAAATTGATTTTAAAAACCAACTTTCTTTAATTTAAACCAATTTTCTATTGCGTCGATTTTAAAAGTTTTTTATAGATTTTAACAAAATAACTCGCTTTAACTATTATTTACTGTAAATTTAGACCGTTAAACATATCTCGCATTAGCCTTTAGCCGACTCAAAATAGCCCCATTAGGTCAAAAGCCAAAAACCCCTCACCTAAGAAGCGTGTCATCGTCGACGAGCATGAGCCAGCGTATGTCCATTTGTTCACCGATATCCTTGAGGGATAATTGTAAAATTGCCATTGTCTTGGCACAATGTCCAGTCTGAACATTCGGTATCCCAGTGCTGATTGTCGGTATGCCAACGTCTGTTGAGGTTTTTGCAAGAAGAAAGGGGAGTCGGAAAGTCAAATCAATGAATATTCAATAAGTGGGACTGCTCCTCGCAGGGTGAAACTGGGGAGCGGGGATGAGAACTCTCAATCAAACAGGCAGAAGTCGGGTGTTTGCCCATGCATATATGCATATGTGTTTAGTTTTCCCGTCACTCCGCCTCATCGTGTTTTTGGTAATGCGATGAGCCCGCAGTCGTGGCATGTGCAACCCCTGCACCACCCTCCGCACCCTCCGCAGCCCACATTTGGTTTAATTGCCCGCTCATTGTCATCGGGGTGCTCACCTGCCACATCGCTGTAGTATCTCCTGTTCTGGGCGTTTTCTGCCCAGGTGCGTTCGATGATTGTTATGCGTTCCTTATGGAATTTCGCACAGGTTTTGATTGCGAAATATATGTGCGACCCGGTCGTGTACACCTGTTCACGTGGGTGGGAGTGGCCAGGAAAGCAGATATGGCAGATGCGGAAACGGAGAGAATCAAGTATAGACAATTTATGGTTATGGAGGTTTCAAATGCTAATTGCTCGGGGTGGTCCATTGGCATATGGGATCAAATGAATCTTGAAATTAGTTGCCTCCTATGCTTTAAATCTTAAATCTTAAATCTTAAATCTTAAATCTTAAATCTTAAATCTTAAATCTTAAATCTTAAATCTTAAATCTTAAATCTTAAATCTTAAATCTTAAATCTTAAATCTTAAATCTTAAATCTTAAATCTTAAATCTTAAATCTTAAATCTTAAATCTTAAATCTTAAATCTTAAATCTTAAATCTTAAATCTTAAATCTTAAATCTTAAATCTTAAATCTTAAATCTTAAATCTTAAATCTTAAATCTTAAATCTTAAATCTTAAATCTTAAATCTTAAATCTTAAATCTTAAATCTTAAATCTTAAATCTTAAATCTTAAATCTTAAATCTTAAATCTTAAATCTTAAATCTTAAATCTTAAATCTTAAATCTTAAATCTTAAATCTTAAATCTTAAATCTTAAATCTTAAATCTTAAATCTTAAATCTTAAATCTTAAATCTTAAATCTTAAATCTTAAATCTTAAATCTTAAATCTTAAATCTTAAATCTTAAATCTTAAATCTTAAATCTTAAATCTTAAATCTTAAATCTTAAATCTTAAATCTTAAATCTTAAATCTTAAATCTTAAATCTTAAATCTTAAATCTTAAATCTTAAATCTTAAATCTTAAATCTTAAATCTTAAATCTTAAATCTTAAATCTTAAATCTTAAATCTTAAATCTTAAATCTTAAATCTTAAATCTTAAATCTTAAATCTTAAATCTTAAATCTTAAATCTTAAATCTTAAATCTTAAATCTTAAATCTTAAATCTTAAATCTTAAATCTTAAATCTTAAATCTTAAATCTTAAATCTTAAATCTTAAATCTTAAATCTTAAATCTTAAATCTTAAATCTTAAATCTTAAAACTTATTCTTTATCTTTTTTTAAACCTTTAATTCGGCGCTTAGCATATTTTATCGGTTTCAGTACCCAATACGTTTTTAAATGTATTAAAGACGACCTAATCGAATAGCTCACTTGCAAAAGATCTTACCCGCATATCTACGTTGTGTTTTATATAAGTTGTATGTAGATATGTAACGCATGATGAAGTAGTGTGATGGACTAGTAATTCTTTTAAAGCTGAAGGGGTACGTAACGTCGGAAGTTAGCTCAATATCTTGTCGTCATATTGATGACATTTTTATAAAAAATAACTATATATACAATAATACAAAGTCGTTATACCATTACAAAATTAATTTTCCCGCATTTTGTTATCAACGAAAGAACAAACTTTGGTAGGCATTTCAAGAGTAAAAAATATTTTTTGTATGAAATGGGGAAATCGACATTTTTGCAAATACCTCATCTTAATCAAAGGCCTATTAAGATGATATATGCTTTCACTACAACAAGTCATAAATAAACTTACGCAACGCTCCTTCAGGTGCTCTGAAGTCGATAGCAGGCCAGCAGGCGGCTCCTCCGGCTTTGCATGCAGCATGCAACGAGGACCTCTGTTTGGAGTACCTGCAGTTCGCATGGATACGAAGGTGGGACAAATGTAGCTGGCACTTTTCAGAGTAATCCTCACGGACACCGGTGTGCCGGAATGCGGGTCGGGCGTAACGTTTTCGTATATAAAACGCGCCAGTTCATGAGAGGCGTCGATGGAGAAGTCGCTGGGAAGGGTAGTGTTTTGGGCATTAGAAGCAACAAGTTCCGCCAGCCTGAAAACGAAGGGTTTATTGTGTATGGTATGAAAAGGTATGAATGTTATGAATAAGATCACACTATTAAAATTTGACTATGTAGCATTAAAAGATTACACAGGTTTTTCAAAATCAAAAAGTAAACAAGAAGGAATGCCTTTAGACGAGTGCCGCGGCTTTCAAATTCCAGTTCCGCTGTTAACCAATTTAAAAAAAAAATGCCCCTAACAGATATATTTAAGGTATATTTATTTGCTGGCGTCATTTGCCATCTTAAACCTAATTTCATAATAACTTCTGTAACAGTTTCACGATTTGGAATATTTGGTATGTGTCGATAGTTTTTGACCCAATAAATATCATCTTTCTACAAAATTTTTAAATTTTTAGGCTTCATAGGTTCGGAAATGATTTATTTTACCAACACTTTTTAACAAATACAGTACACCCTTTTACTTCACGAGTAACGATTATAAATATTTTAAACTCAGTGGCCAACAATTGCTTTTTGAAGTTTATTTTAAATATTGTTATTTTAATTAGCCCTGGTTTTCGGGTTTTACTTATTAAAAATTAAAATACCAAAAAAATAAAATCACTTCTTTAACATATTAATGCAATTATTGTTCAATTTGGTTATTTAAGATTTTAACCAAATACTGATGCGCCAGAACTGTTTTGTTTATAAAATAAAACAAGAAAGGAAGCAAGCGTCGGCATGCCGATCTTTATATACCCTTGCAGTTATTACAAATCGACTCCATTTTAATTTTTATGCCTATATAACTAAAAACCATAAAGCTATTTTGATTTTGCGATCTGTGTGGTGGCGTCATATATACTATGACAGACGGGCGGACAGATGGACGGACGGACGGACGGACAGATGGACGGACAGACGGACGGACGGACAGACGGTCAGACGGACGGACATGGCTCTTCTGGTGATGCTGATCAAGAATATATATACTTTATAGGGTCGGAAATGCCTCCTTCACTGCAAACTTTTGACTGAAATTATAATACCCTCTGCAAGGGTATTATGATTTGTTTAAGTTTAAACTAAACGGAAAAAAATAAGTTGAGTGTCTTATTCTCCTCTTTATAATAGTCTTGACAAAAGTGTAATATGGAACTAATTCCAAGCAATAGTTTTTAACCTATTTTTTTCCTGGATAACAATTATTAGTTTAATCGAAGATTATACAACTCATAGATTTGACACCTGACAGCAAAATATTTTGTAGATTTATTTAATTATATTTCGTTTAATTTAATTTTGTTCTTTTTTTTAAATCTTCTTTTAATATAATTACTAACTATTAAGTATTATAACAAAAAAGAAACAAATATACTCGGTAATATGTGTTTTTGATGGACTTGTAACTAACTTTTTTCAGTTCCCTTTGCTAATTTCATGACTTGATTCGTATTTATACCCGTTACTCGTAGAGTAAAAGGGTATATTGTATTCGTGCAAAAGTATGTAACAGCTAGAAGGAAGCGTTTCCGACCCTATAAAGTATATATATTCTTGATCAGGATCACTAGCCGAGTCGATCTAGCCATGTCCGTCTGTCCGTCTGTCTGTCCGTATGAACGCTGAGATCTCGGAAACTATAAAAGCTAGAAGATTGGCATTTTGCATGTAGATTTTAGGAGTTCCTACGCAGCGCAAGTTTGTTTCAAAAAGGTGCCACGCCCCCTTTAACGCCCACAATCGCTTATATACGATTTTAAAAATTTAAATATTTCGGAAAAGTAAAAATGCAGTTTTATTGAGTTTATCAATACCTATCGAAATGTATTTGAAATTTCAAATCGGACCATTCGTTAAAAAGTTATGCGTGATCAAAGTTTCTATCTCCATCTCCCTCGCACTCCCTTTACCTGAGTAACGGGTATCTGATAGTCGGGGCACCCGGCTATAGCGTTCTCTCTTGTTTTGTTTGCTCTTTATTTTGTAATTACCAATTTATAATGTTGTTTTGCTCTTTGAACATCTTGACCATTATTTATGTTTTTGCCGTAATTTTTTTTTGCGGACATAAGATCTAACCTTTCGACGACAAAAAATAAATAAATAAACAATTATATATATTTTCTTTTAATACTTTGGGGATTATTTAAATATATATTAATTTTTATAACTTTTTTCGTTGAGCATACTTAATGGCTTTTAATTTTGATAAATTGTGATTTTCAAAACTTAATTTGCGACACTTATAGAATTATTATAGAATTTAAGAAAATATTTTTTTTGTAATATCTTTCAGAATGGCTAACAAATTTTACTTATTTCTTCGCAAATAAAAAGTCCCTTAAATTCGTATGTATTAACTTAAGAAGACGAGAAAGTATAATCAGTTTTGTTTAAATAGTTTAAGGAATGAGAAAATTAATATCCTTTAAATTTATATGAAAATAATAAATTTATATGAAAATTATAAATTTATATGAAAATTATAAATTAATTTATATAAATTAATTCCATCCCCGTAGATAGCTGATGAGTCTGAGGTGACGTGCAGACGAAACTAGCTAGTCCTATCATAGTCGGGTTCACTCCCCAGGCAGTGTAAGTGTGATGAAAGTTAAGTGGAATAAATCGTTGCGTTATAGAAGAAATTAAAATATAACCAACGTATGACCTCGAGTAATTCAATAACACTACAATTATAAATTACATATATAACAATTTTAAGAAGGAGAAAATTCCCATCCTTATTACTAATTCCTTTATATATAATTTTATAAAAATGTTTATATATTTAACAACATCATTAAGCAAGCCTGACAGAAGACGAAGTTTGGAATTTTAAATAAAACATCTTGATGTTTAGCATTATAAAAAAACGCCGACATAAATATTAATTATACTATTACATTTAAGTTGAAAACAATACAACAAAAATACAACAAACTAGTCCCTCACTTTTAAAGCTATCTGCCTGAAACTTTCCCAAAAGTTGTCTTTCTATTGCAGGTAGTATATAAGTCGGAACGAGCCAAATCGGGCGACTATATCATATAGCTTCCATAGGAACAATCGGAAAAAAATTACTTTGTTTTTATTTATTTTTCATTGGGATTTGGTAATATTTAAATATTATGGAATTACGGTTTTAATTTAATTAAAATCGGACAACAATATCATACAGCTGCCATAGAAACGACGGCAAAATGCAGCGCAAAGTCGACACCAGCTTCATTGTTTTTAGGCATATAAATTAAAATATAGTCGATTTGTAATAACTGCAAGGGTATATAAACTTCGGCTTGCCGAAGTATGCTTCTTTTCTTGTTTTTGTATTATATTGTTTACTAATTTGCCTGATTTTTCTGCAAGTTGTAGACAAGAGTAAATAGAGTTTTATTTGTTTTTCAAATTGGCTGATTTTTATATTTTTTTTGGGCAAGAGTATAAATTGTTTTATTTTATTTTATCGTTTTGCGGTGACCAATTTTGAGACGCAATGGATAGTCGGAAGCAAAAGTATTTTTATTTAGTTAACAGTGAAAGCAAATTTTTGATCGTTCAATTTTAATTATTTCTTTTCGGAAAATGTAAGTATTTTTAATATTTTTTATTCATAAATATGTTATAGAAATGCTGACAAGTTTGTCTGTTTTAACAAAAATAGGTTAATTATTTATGAATTATTTACATATTTTACTTACCTTCGCAGCAGAACACCTGTAAAAACAACTCCAGCGCTAAGCATGGGGTACGGGAACCGTTGGGGATCCTTGTAGTTTGAGAAATGGTGTATAATGGTGGCCTCCGAATCGTACAATGCATGGCCGTGGAAGGAGAGCTTAAGGAGGGACGTCGGTACAGGACTCATGTCTTAACTCCAGGTGAAAAACTCACCTCCCCAGAGTCCTGGCGACGCAGCTGCTCGAGCAGGCCGCGCAGCGAGGACACACGCGTGTTGTGCTGACACCATATAATCCATTCCGTGCGCGCATTCAGCAGACGTGTCTGGCCTCGCAGATGTGGCAGTGCGTCCAGTAGGGTCCAGTAGTTGAAGAGCTCCTGCATCACATGGACCTTTAAGACATAGTCCCCGGGGAAGATCTCCGCTCGTTCCAGTTGCCGATGCTGCTTCCGCACGCTGTCGGACAAGGCGAAGCACTCATCTTTGGCTTGGCGAGGAAGTGGAGGGCAGGCGATGACCAGGAGTACCTCTCCTGGTTCCATTCTGCCGGAGCACACACTAGCAAAATACAAGAGCCCCAGCACCACACACATCCTAGAAGACATTTCTGATGTCTGTTACGGAACTCTACGATTTCCATAAGTTTTTTTTACATTCTACTTCCGAATTCCATCCCGCCAACGGAACACGACCGCCCTTATGAACGTGCGAAAACGTACTGAGGCAACTGTGATTTAATTTTGGCGGAAAGTCGAAATGCCTAGTGGCCTGGTGGAGTGAAAGCGGGCTTCGGGATTTCGTGATTTCGTATGCGTAGTCCAACGCGCAGGCGCCTGTAAGGACCAGATTTTATGAATGAATCACTAGGTGCATGCAACAGTTGCCTTTCCTTCTGTGTGAATAAGCAGTGGCTTTAAAATAATCAATTGATTTAGGAGGCACCCCACTTGCTATGAGTCCAACCAAAAAGTATTTAAACAAGGAAAGCTAACTTCGGGCGGAGCCGAAGTTGATATACCCTTAAAGAATGTTCTGTAAATTATATTCTCCAAAATTATTCATATCATGCATTCTTAATACTTATACTTCTTTTGAATTTGACATATCTACCCTTTTCAGCCTCTTTTATAATGCAAGGGAGTGGCAGTAACGGGCAGTAGCGGTCATAGAATTAATTATATAGGATATATTCGGCCGATCGGTTCCATCGGCTCAAAAAATATAATACCCTCTGCAAGTGTATAACAACAAAGTTATATTGATAAAAAAAAAAATTTTTTCCGATTGTTCCTATGGGATTTATATTATATAGTCGCCCGATCCGACTCGTTCCGACTTATGGGAAAGTTTCAAGCAGATAGCCCTAGAACTGAGTGACTAGTTTTCGTAGAAACGGACAGACGCACGGACAGAATTATAACATCCTCTGCAAGGGTATAAAATCGATGTTTGGCTTCTCCAAAACTAAAGTTGTTTCGTGTTTGCTTCGAATCGCGGCTTTCTTCTCCTGTAACCGTTTTAATTGTTTTAAACAGCTCGATTAAAAAAAGTTGTTCCACGACTTCTTGAAAAGCATGTAACTCACAATAATGGGGTTTGGAGAAATAGGTATTTCAAAGGAAAACCAAAAAAATATAATTTTGTCAAAATATTCTTTATTTAATCATTTATCAGAACTGCAAGCCCTTTGACCCATCTATGCCGTTCCGAATGATTTAATGCCTTTTTGAAATTAAAATAAAAATGAGCAATCCAAATTAAAATAAAAAAAAAGTTTGCTGGTGATGTTTACAGTATTGATCATTGATCAAAGATTTTCGAATATAAATAATTTTATTATTTCAATTACGATTTCATTTAATTTGCAACTGCTCAACTTCTTGAATAATTTAAAAAGCAACTATTAGAAAAGAGAATTCAGAAATAGTATATACTACCTTTCTAAAAAGCATTTTTTCATTTTGAGTTGTACCACAGTTCACATAAAATATGATTATGCGTTCATGTCGAGGGAATTAAAAAAGGAATACTATTAGTGCATAGGCGAGGCCAGTCTCGTAGTTGTCTGCATGTTGTTGCTGCGGTTGTTGGACTTGAGCCGCAGCTCGTTGACGTGTCTAAACAGTTGGTCCTGCTTGGAGAGCAGCTCTCGGGTCCGCTGGCAGCCGTGCTGGGGGGCGCATAGACCCGGGTTCCAGCGACAATATAGCCCCTTCCACAGGCGGACGGACCGCACGCTGGCGATAGGACGCAGCACCAGCTCGGCACCGTGCGTGAAGGAGGGGAATAGGGGATTCAAGTACTGATCCAGCGAAGAGTTGATATGCGTCCACAAGGAAGTTGTCTTATGTTTCAGATCTGGATAAAAATATATTATTGCTTTCCATGCAAATTCAAATAGCTGGGACTCTCACCTTCGGCTACTCGCTCGGCTTCCGTGTTACAAAGGAAGGTGCCAAACCGACACGAATACAAGTGATCCACAATTGTTATCAGGAAGTGCTCGTTGAACTCAAAAGCATTGTGAAACTGCTGGCTGACCTGCCACACACTGTCGATGAATTGCAGGAACACTGGTGATCTGTCCGCATCAGAGTGCTTGTTGTCGCCGTGACCTACGCGTTGCTGAAACTTGTGGCCAAAAGAGAGCCATTCCTTTTCGATGAGTACTTCAAAGCCACGCACAGTTCGATAGTAAGGATCGAGCAGCAGCATGGAGAGGGCCGTTAGCTGAGCCGTGCGATCCCAGCCGTCTGAGCAGTGTACTACAACGGAGGTACTCATGGTCTCCACCTTGTCCACTATTCTGACTGCTCCGGCCAGAATGCACCGGATGTGCTTTAGCCATAGAGTATTGTCGATAGCTGTCTGCCACTTCGAGTCGTCGGTGGTGGGAAAGCAAGCCTCCTTTACCTTTCGTAAACTCTCCCTCATCACATGGATGTTATGAATGTCAAGGAAGTTGATTTCCACATTTTTGTATGCGTCCTCCGACTCGTAGCCGCCGCCCTTAGCTTTGTTGGCAATTGCATTGGCGCTGGGCCGTGCGTCCATAATGGTCAGCTTGTCCGACTGAGCGTTTGCCTCCATAATAAAGCTGAGGTAGGCCTCATCGTCTGAATTTCGCTTGCCTCCCACCCCCACCAGGGGCTGAGAGCACCGCGTGATGGTCGCCTGGGTTCGGGGATTCATCCAGGAAAGCACTGGAAGGCGACAACGCGAGCGAAACTGAGCTACGCGCCTCAAGAAGTCATCGGATGCCGCCTTGGGCACAGCCCACACGGCAGGATAGCTATCGCAAATGGCGTAACATTCGTTTAGCTTGGTGGCCCGCCACATGTCATTAGGAACGCCCAGGCGCCGAAGCTCCGCCAGCGGTTCAAACACCGCCCAGCCATTCCAGCCTCCGCTTCCATTCACTGAGTTGGCAGCCGCATGGGCAAAGGCAAAGAGACGACCACTGTACGAGAGCGGAAAGGCATTGGTCTGCAGTTTCTCGAACACCGTCCTGCGGGAGTGATTCTGCTGCTTGTGGGCGAAACGCAGGTTGCGCATGTCCTTGCAGAAGATCTCGATGCCGTACGAGTTTTCGCCCCGCGAAGTGGCCCCCCCGATCTTCTCCACGCGCGCTATTACGCCCAGCGGCACGTCGACGACCACTGGCGGCTCCTGATCCCGCAGAGGAAGCGACCGGAAGTAGAGGCGGAAGTTGGTAATGGTAAGGGCGCCGAACACGGGGCCACGGTAGGGACACACGTAGGTCACGTCGTTCTTCTGGTCCTGGTCCTCCTCGCCGTCCAGGTAACTGAAGGGCGTGTCTCGCAGAACGCCGTTCTCCCCGCCTCCGTGCTTGGAGCCCAGCGAACTGGACTTGGAGCTGCTGTCCAGCGAGTTACTGCTGCCAGTCTTGGAGGCCAACTTGTCGGTTAGGCTCGTGGAAAAATCCATTATGGAATGGATACAAATGATAGTTGTAACTTGTTTTGCTAGTTGCGCAGCTGTGTTTTCTGATTGTTAGCTGAATGCAATTCACTGAAATCATGCAACGGTGCTGCCAACTCGCGGCGCGCAATAATACCAAATTTCCCTTCTTTCGCCCAAAAGTACCAATGGGCATTTCTAAAATGGCGCGAAATTTGACGAACGATTTTTTTTATAGTATCTATGAACTTAAATTTAACAATTAATCATAGAAAAACTAAAAAAAATGATTGTCAAATTAACTGTATTGTTTTTTTATTCAGTTAACTCCCCCTAACTCGCGGTCGCGGCCTCTTGTCAACTTGGATTAGCCATGTCTGATAATTGGGAAGTAGATTTATGCAAATTAACATATATTTTAAACGGATTAGGTTAGGCACTAGACGCGTCTTCTTTTAGCTTTGAACGCATTGATGGGGTCACGGGGAACAAAGGACCATGTCCTGGAACAATAAAGTCGCAAATATGCGCCATTTTATTGCGCTCCGCCCGCTGGAGCTTCTCACTCTCGCTTCCAGCATCCTTCCAAATGCTCTCATCGTCTATATCCTCGCTTCGCTCGAAGAGATCTCCGGTGATACCTACCCGTCCCCCCAACTGGGAGTTGTCGACAATCACGGAAACGCAACTGAGAGTGTGTCCTGGCGACCGCCTTACAATCACCTCAGCATTAGAGTCCAGCGCCAGTTCCTCATTCTGTTCTCCGCTGCCAAAGTGATTCATGTAAAGGTCGCGATGCGACGCACACGCCCCGACCAGGTGCATTCGTGCCTTCTGAAACAGGTAGTTGCTCCCGATGTGGTCAGAGTGTCCGTGGGAGCACACCACCACTTGGATGTCCTCGACACCCAGGCCGTGCTCTCCCAGCAACGAACGAAGGTGCTCTCCATCCCAGGCCGTCATTGTGTCCACTATGACGTTGGTGCCATCCCTGCAGCGGACCAGCGTGCAGGTGCAGTTCGCTCTCATGGTGGACTCGTCTCCGTCTTCTTGGCGAGAATAACCGTCCTGGAGCACGATTACTTGGTTCCGCAGGGTCGGATCATTTAGTGCCATTATTTATTAAGCAAAACAAAACATCTTCCGCTCGATGCCTAGTGTGACCCGATAATTAATGCCTATAAGAACCTTAAATTACGGTCTTACTAAAATCTAACCTGCATTAATTTGAATTTTAAACATATTGTGCGTCAGGTGAAACGAGTATAGAGTGGGTAGATTCTTTTTAGGTGAAATGTTTTTGATTTTCACACGAATATGCCAAGTGTGAGTTCTGCTTAAATTCAGCAGTATATGGTCGTTCCAATTGCTTTTTCTTCGAGCATTCACTTCGCTTAAAAGAGAGCAGACAAAAACTGTTCAATAATAAATATTTATCACTATTGTGAACCGTCTGTTTTCCAGGTTTCCGTGCAGCGAAAAATTAAACATAAAATTCTACGGCGATTTTATTTATTTCAAAACACCCTTTAAAAAGAACAGGATTGGGCTGCTGTTTCAGCTGGATACAAATCCAAAAGGCTGTATTTGCAGAAATGGATAATTTTGCAAATCGTAAAATTTTGCTCTTTGTTCTGCTGCCGAGATTTTGAAAAGCCAAAAGTTTTTTTTTACTGTTTTTTCTGTATTCTAGAAACATTTCAAACACTAAATCATACAGTTTTATTTACAAGTTATGTTAGTATTTTAATAATATTTTATAAAAATGCAGCCCTCGGACAGTAATGCACTAAGAGGCAAATGTTAATGTATTCTTAAAATACAATATATTAATTTGAACTAATGTGGAGATACAATAAATTTCTCTTACGCGCGAACCTATTTAAATCATCTGGTACCAAGACTTTTAGTTGGATTAAACTTGGCTACCTTGCAACACTGCGACCAGCTGTTTTCCAAACTCCTTCACATGTTTATAAGGCGCAATTTTGTTATTATTTAACGTTTTCTGAATGAGCCATAGATAAACCACGATGTATCTGAACTATCTACCGCGGGCGCAATGGAAGTACCTGCAATACCTTTTGCAAGTGCGTCAGCTTCAGCTCCTGAGAAGGCATGTAAGCATTGGCGAAAGACCGCCCATACAAACAGCGACCTTGCTGCCGGTAAGAAGACGCTTGCACCTTATAAATGGAGATCTCCAGGAAAAATTCGACGAAGTACGGGATCAGGATTCTCTTCTCACCAGGTTGAAGGAGGCTAAGACGACTGACAAGCTTCTGAAACTGCTGGAAACCAGTGACAGCTTGCAGGGCTTCCATGCGGCGGAGGGAATCTCCCTGCTGTGGCAGGCCTATCAAGGCATGGATCAGCAAGAAAAAGATGCCATCACAGAACGAGTGCTAAAGGAAGCGCTGCCGATACTGGGTCCTCATGTAGACCATCTGGACGTCAACGATCTCAGCCGATGCTACCTGTATCTGCGCAAAATGCACATACAAAATTGCGAACCGACCGTGGAAGCTGTGCTAACGAGAGCTCTTTATTTGATCGAGAGTCAAGTGCATGGTCAGGTCATCCCCTTGACGGCTTTGTCCCGCCTATCGGTGGGAATAAACTTGGAACGCGACTTTTTTACCCCACTCGTTTGTAAGAACTTTGTCCCCCACCTGGAGCAACACATAAGTCTATGCCACAGTGAAGAACAGGTGCGTCTTCTGTCCACGTGCCTCTTTCAGCTGCACTTTCTAATCGACGAGGAGCTGCTCTTGCACTTTAAGCAGCGATTGGGTAAACTGCTGGAAAGCGGCGTTTTAAGCAGCAAAACCCCAAAGGCTCTTCTTAAGGTGCTCCACATGCTAAATATTCCATGGTGGTCACAGCATCACACCCAATTGATTCGGAAGGTCATGCTGGCTTTGCGACCCTGCATTCACCAGATGGAGTCCGGAGACCTAAAGAGCATGTGCCGCGCATTTCTGCATCATCAGGAGCCTGCTGCACTAATGGAGCCGCTCAAGAAAGCCACGGAGAAGCTGCTGCAGGATGAAAGCACGGTTGACGCCCTCTCATGCGCCGTTCCTTTTGCCACGCCGCTGCAAAGGGATAAAAATACGCAGCTTTTTCGGGAGCTATTGTACTCCGAGAACGCCTGGCTGCTTCCTAATGCGAGCGGACACTTTTTCAGTGTTCTTCGAGCATTGAAAATCTCCGACTTAAGATTCTGCAACACATACTGGTCGGGTGTTATTCGGGAACTGGATTCCTGCCGGGAGGAGCAGACGCACCTCCGGTTTTTGAGACATTGCCAGCGCTACATGAACTTCAATAATAACCTGGGAGGAACCTATCGTCATTTGGAACTGGAAAGAAAGTTGAGTCGCATGTGCATGAGTGCCGTGGAGAAGGACATAGCGGGCAGGCTGCCGACGAAGTTCGCACGCCTCGCAGCGTTTGTACTGGCCTACGGACAGACTCCGTTAGCCTGGAAAAAGTTCCCCAACATTCTGCTTAGCAAGATGCTCGCCATGGCTCCTCAGTTTGCCATCCAGGATTGCTTTCTTCTCAGTCGAGGAATGCAAATAGCTTGCGAACTAAGGTTTCGCCAGCATCTTCCGTCACTTGCTGCCATGCAGCTGTCCACCATGGATAGCATTCTCATCAGCTGTGCGGAGAGACACTTGGCCAATGTCGAAAAGGATCCGCTGAACGCAAGTGAACTAAGCATGATTGTAAGAACACTAAGTCATCGGAAGAGTAAGTAAAAATGTGTAAAGATAGCTAAATTTTGCTATTATAAGTTACAACAAATGTTGAACGCATATTTGCGCATAAAGTGTGCAGTTTTTATTTACCATAAACATTAACTACTTTAACTACTACTCAGTTTAAACATTCACTTCCGACTTTACAGCTCTTAAAAATACGATGGCTTACAACGGAGCCCTGTTGCAGTATAAAAACCTTCACTGCAAAGATCTCAGTTCCCGGGTAGTTCGGGACATGGCGTACAACTTTAACGCATCGCATTTCTTTGTCCCCGAGCTTTTGGAGTCCATGTTCGGCTACATTTCCGAACAGCATGCTCACATTACCGGCGACACAGTAGAGAAGGTCTTAACCTGTTCCTATAATTTAGGGTATACGCCTTCCTCTCTTGAAGTTTTAAACCATGCATCTGGAGTATTAATAAGGTGTGCATAATTATCCCATAAGGCAGATCTATAATTAATGTCTTTTAGAGACTTTGAACAGATGAGTGGTTTGTCGATTGTACAGGCATGTCTAGCATTGTGCTTCTACAAATCAATACCTGAGCAGCTGATCAATCAAGTATTTTGCGTGAAGTTCATTCAGCGTATTGAGGAGGAAATTCAGGTTTGCTACTCAAAGGCAACTTATCCGGAGCGGGTCCTTAACCTAGTCATGCAGCTAAATCGCACTGTATGCCTGGATTTTCCCGAGGCGAATGTACCCTGGTTTCAGCAGAATTACATAGAGGCTCAGAAAAGCAAAAGTAAGTATAACTTTTTTTTTTCTTAAAAAGTCTAAATTATAGAGCTTTTGCAGAGTCCTTGCTTCCTAGTGGGTCCATTGTAGAAGTTAAGCAGATGCTGCAGAATATTTTTCAGAATGATAATCACTTTCGTTGCAATCACACGACTCCTTACGGCTACCAAATAGACTTTGTGATACATTTCGATCGAAATAGAAAACCCGTCCCAGCACCTCCCGTGGAGGCGACGATGTTGGATCGTATAACGAAGTAGGCCAACATTTGCCATCTAAAATTGATGTACTATATTCACCGTATTAATTTCTAGGGTGGCTATACTACTGCTTAAATTTGACTCATTTTGCGAGAACGATCTGACTGCCCTGCGGGGTCCTGAATCTTTGAAGATGAGACATCTAGAAATGATGGGTTACAAGGTAATGCAAATCAACGAACACGACTGGAACTCCAAGTATATGGCATCGTCTGCAGCCAAGGCCAACTACCTTAAGTGCTTGTTAAAAATTTGCCATTAGATTTCGTGTTTGTACGTTTATTTTAATTTTCAAAAGTTTATTAGATTTATAGTAAACAAATTCGGATATTGTAAATTGCAGTTCGATTAATCGAGGCATTAATACAAAAAATGTATTCAAGAGTTTCGTACCCCCGTAGGATTCCTATGGATCTGACTTAGCACACCAATTGTAGGCGTTGTTAAACATAATCTGCCAAGGGCTCTCTGCCTTTCTTGGGGAAACCTCGAAGGACGGTGGCACATAGGGCCACTGGTACATGGAGGAACAACGTTCCGGATGTGGCATTAGGGCTAAATGTCGTCCATCCGCCGAGCAAATACCGGCTATTCCGCGAGGACTGCCGTTCGGATTAAGGGGATAGAGTTCCGTCGGCAAGCCTGCATCATCAACATACTGTAATGTAACCAGCTCTTCCGAATGTAGTTGGCTTATGAGCTTCTCCTCCCGGAATGCAAAACGACCTTCACCGTGAGCCACCCAACAGCCTAGAATTAGATCCTTCATGTTTTCCAGCATTATAGAGCGGTTGGCTGGAATCCTAACTGTAGCCCAGCGGCATTCGAATCGCTGGGATATATTATGGACCAGGGCTACTTCAGGATCTACACCCACTTCGCTGCCTGGACTGCCCACAAATCCAATAAGAGTCATCAGTTGGCACCCATTGCAAATGCCTAAAGAAAAGACTTCTTGACGGCGCTTAAAAGCCTCAAACTGAGGCAGCAGGCGAGGATTGTGGAGAATGTTGGCTGCCCAACCCTTGGCCGATCCTAAAGTGTCTGCATAGCTGAAGCCGCCCGGGAAGATTAGTCCTCGGTATTCGGCCAGGTTTGTGGTACCTGCAACAAAAACATATTTTGATTAATAGTAATTCTTAAAAATTTATTTTTTTTATAAAAAAATTCGCAATTTTCGGGGTCGGAAGATGCGCTACGTATGCATTATAATGGTTTACATTGTCAATGCCGAGATCCTTACGTTTTTTCACAGCATGACATTTGGAAGTAGATTTTCTCCCATTCTTCTTCCTATTCATAACAAAAAAAAATTTTTGTAAATTTGTAAAGCAAAACGTACCAATAATTGAAAAATTGCATCAGTCACAAACTCACTCTCATAGAGACCAGACGTGCCTTCGCTTCCAAAGCAAACCGAAAACAAAACACAAAAATAAAAAACTACCAACAACATTCTACAAAATTCTAACAGTAACCACAAGTGCACAAGTGCGCAAACCAAAAAAAGTGCAAGACCAACCAACGGGTAAAAAGACAGTGACGGCGTGATGGGGGATCCCCCCGATCGAGGTCCAATAACTGCCCACGAAAAAAATATGGCACTGTTAAGATCTCCTGGCCCAAAATACCTCATTATTAGAAGGTGTGATCTACATCTAGATCTTAGCACCATCAACCCATTTCTAATAAAAAAACAAATTGACTTCACATGTGGCGGGGAGGTAGAAGACTGTAATAAACTGAGAAACGGAACACTACTCATAAAAACAAAAACCAACACCCAAGCCAATAGATTACTCGCATTGAAAGCTTTTGCTCCTGACATAAAAGTCGAAGTGTGTATCCACAACGGACTAAACTCAACCAAAAGTGTAATCTACTCGAATGACCTAAGAGGAATAGAAGAAACTATTATACAAAAAGAACTTGCTAGCCAGGACGTATGTGAAGTTAAAAAGATACTGAAAAGGGAAAACGGCACACTTAAAGAGACTGGCCTAATAATAATTACGTTTAACCGCCATGACCTTCCAGAGAATATTAAAATTGGCTATCAAAGGACCGCAGTTAGGGAATACATTCCACTCCCATTAAGATGTAATAATTGTTTCGAATTCGGCCACCTACACAAGTTCTGCAAAAATAAAAAAATTTGCTATAACTGCGGAGAATAACACCACACAGACACACAGGAGAAATGCACTAGGCCACAAAGATGTATAAATTGTAATGACGACCAAAAAATCGACCCCCACAACTCAAACAACAGGAGATGCCCAATCTTCAAAACCCAGCAAGAGCTTATTGCTATAAATACAACCAAAAAATGCGACAACAAAACTGCCCTAACAATACTTCGATCAAGAAATTCAAACAACTCACCCATTTCCTACTCATCCATCGCCAAAACAACACCTCACACACATCACAACACTACACCTTCACAAAATTCAGGACCTCAACAACTCAAAGGACCCAACCTCACACAGCAAGGACAATCTACCCCCAGGAAACAATTAACTTCATACGCAGATCTTTCTATAGACAACAAATTAGACTCTTCCAATTCAACTCACCCAACCCCCAAACCAACCACTAACCCAGTTCAAATCCTACCTCTCTCTACATCAAAGCGAATGCTAGCATCTCTCAAAGCCGCAAACAAAAATGCAAACAAAAAAGTCAAGTCTAATTTAACAAAAACTGGAGAAGCTTCGAGCGACTCTTGTGACATGGAAACTAACTAATCTATCCACACCCCAATAAACTATAAATATGGTTAAAATAATCCAGTGGAACATTAAAGGTTACCGAAATAACTATCCCGAACTTCAATTAATTATTAAACAATTTAATCCACATATAATAGCCCTACAAGAAACACACATATCGAGCACTACATCACTCCCAATTCCCATAAACTTTTTAATTTACTGCAGCTACAGTACAAATGCATTCGGTGGCACAGCCCTCCTAGTGCATAAATCCATTTCCCACTCACAACATCCACTAAATCCAGATCTTGAAGCTGTAGCTCTTACCTTAGACTCCAAAAAAAAAATCACCCTTATCTCTACATACATTTCTCCCAATAAGCACTTCAATCTAAACAACTTAGAAAACGTCCTATCCCCAACAAACCTACCCACACTAGTCCTTGGTGACTTCAACAGCTGGCACCCTTATTGGGGTTCCCCCAGACCCAACTCCAGAGGAAACACCGTTGCAAAATTTATAGACCGCTCTGACTACATTCTATTAAACGACAAATCGCCGACTCACTACTCAACACACAACACATTTACACATATCGACCTCTCTCTCGCCACCGCCAACATTGCCCCCGAAATAACATGGAAAGTGATCGACGACCTCAATGGCAGCGACCACTTCCCATTACTTATTTCTTTGTTCCAGCATACATCCCCATCCTTTACCGCTAAACCCTCCTTTAACCTCAAAAAAGCAAACTGGAAACTTTATAGTGACAATATCTTAAATTACAGCTCAGGTACTCAACCTACCAATAATATAAACAAAGAAGCTGCCATAATTAAAAAAGTTATAATTCAAAGTGCCCACCTCTCTATACCCCAAAACTCTATCTTTACCCTCAAACGTACTGTTCCCTGGTGGAACAACGACTTAGCTTGCCTTAAATACACGAAAAACACAAAATGGAAATTGCTTAAAGCTAACATCAGTTCAGAAAATATAATTGAATTCAAAAAAGCCAACGCAAAATACAAAAGAGCAATTAGAGAAGCCAAAAAAACCGCCATCAACTACTTCACCTCCGAAATCCAACCCAACTCTGACCCAACTAGATTGTGGGCAAACGTTAAACGTCTATGCGGACTCTATCCCACTAAACATATCCACACTATCTATAACCCTTTCACCCATACCATCCCCAAGCTTTTCGAAAACACTATTACACCCCATTTGCAACATCTTTGTAGATCGATTATATCTCCATGTCAACATGGATTTATAAGGCGAAGATCTACGACGACAAACCTCTTGGAGCTAACGTCTTTTGTAATAAATGGCTTTAGAAAGAACATGCAGACTGACGTAGTTTACACTGACTTTAGTAAAGCGTTTGATTCAGTAAATCACTCGCTACTTGTATTAAAGCTAGACTTATTGGGGTTTCCATGTGATCTTCTAACATGGATCTCAAGTTATCTGAGTGGTAGGACTCAACGAGTCCTCTTTAAAAACTCGATCTCTGATTTGATCCGAGTTACTTCAGGCGTCCCACAAGGAAGCCACCTTGGCCCACTTCTTTTTACTTTATTTATAAACGATCTCCCTCTAGTCTTGACAAAGTCGCGTGTCCTTATGTACGCAGATGACGTTAAGTTATGCCTGCAATATAACGAAATTTCTAGCAGTTCAGACTTACAATCTGACCTAAACGCTTTTCAAACATGGTGTTGTGAAAATCTTTTGGATTTAAATAGCGCTAAGTGCAAAGTAATGACATTTTTTCGGGTGAACCCACAATATGCAACGTATACGCTGGGTGGTTGCGCGTTGTCTAGAATTACGCATGTCGATGACCTTGGCGTCCTCCTTGACCCTAAACTTAAGTTTTGTGACCATATTACTTCTATGGTGAATAAAGCCAGGGGTGTACTTGGATTTATTAAGAGGTGGTCAAAGGAATTCGATGATCCCTATGTTACAAAGACTCTCTTCATTTCACTAGTCCGTATAATCCTGGAGTACTGTTCTGCAGTTTGGAGTCCTCAGTATGGTGTACATATAGACCGGATAGAGTCTGTGCAAAAGAACTTTTTATTATTTGCTCTACGGGGCCTTAACTGGAATGCAAGCCTTATTTTACCATCCTACTCTAGTAGACTTCTCCTAATTAATCTACCATCCTTAGTAAACCGTAGAACGATGCTTGGCACAACTTTTATCTATAAACTTATTCACGGGGATGTGGAGAGTCCCGAGTTACTGGGTCGCATAAGCTTCTCCGTGCCTAATAGAATTACCAGGAACTATGTTCCTCTTACATTAAATATTTGTAGATCTAACTTTGATATGCATGAACCGTTTAGAGTACTGTGTAACGACTATAATAGACTATACCACATTATATCTACTACCGACTCTTTGCCAAGCCTAAAATCATTAATTTTATCTTACCTAGCACAAAATTAGTATTAGTATTAGTCTCGTACGTATTTGAAATCTTAGTCTGTCCGCTTCTACATTGTGCTTTTAACTTCTCGCGATCTCGTTTTTACGCCTATTAGGCTCCGCGCGTAACAAGCACTGCTTGGTGTCGTAAGGGCCACTTGTTTGCGCTGATCATAGTGCATCAACGTCCGTAAATACTAACACCACCAATCCATCAGAAATAGCAAACACCTTCGGTAACGTCTGGTCAAAAGAAGCTGAGAACTCAAATTTTTCTACTACATTTAGATCAAATAAGAGCCTTGTCAACTACACCACAAACTACTTACCATGCCACTCAGCCCTTGAAATAGAAAAAGACATAACCCTAATAGAACTTCTATCAGCCCTTAGCTCTCTCAAAGGTGCCACTCCAGGACCGGACCGCATCTCCTACTGCATGATTAAAAACACACCTACCCCTTTTAAACTGAAAATTTTACAACACTTTAATAATATTCTCAACTCTCATATCCCTCAATCATACAAACTCAGCCTAGTCCTCCCTATTTTAAAACCCCAAAAACCCCAAATCGAGCCCAAATCATACCGACCTATTGCCCTAAACCCATGTTTAGCAAAAGTTCTGGACAAAGTTATTGCTAAAAGATTGTGGTGGTTTGTTTTAACCAACAAACTTTTGCACAACAACCAATTCGGTTTTAAAAGGGGAAAATCTGTCCTAGACAGTCTACTATACGTAGACCACCTAGCGACCAGAGCCCTTTCCTTAAAACGACACATTTCAATAATATCCCTAGATTTCGCTAAAGCCTTCGATAAAATAGGAATACATTCTCTCATCCACCAACTCCAAAAATGGAAAGTAGGCCCACGAATACTAAAATACGTGGCCAACTTTATGAACAACAGGAAAATCATAATCAAAAACGGAACCTCACTTTCCAACTCATTCCCACTTGACAACGGCATCCCACAAGGCTCTCCCATCTCAGTTATCCTATTCCTAATAGCCTACAATTCCCTTTGTAACATCATTTCCATTCCTAGACAATTTAAATTTACGGCCTACGCTGACGATTTCCATTTAATCATAGAACACAAAAGAAAAAAAAACCCCTCTACAAATCTAACAGCTGTCTTCCAAAAAATTAAAGAATGGTGTACTTACTCAGGTTCCTCCCTCTCGATTGAAAAAAGTCAACACCTCCACATATGTCGGAAACACAATTGCAGAGCAAAAATATATACTGGTTCCCTAACCATCACTGAAACTAGCACTACAAAAATCCTAGGCCTCACCATTAATAATAAATACAACTGGTCCACCCACATAAGCAGACTAAAAGATAGCCTCCGCAAACCCTTAAACATCATCAAACACCTATCCTCCCCAAAATACAACACCAACACCTCATCCCTTATCCAAATTATCAAATCAATCCTAATCACTAAAATCGACTACTGCCTACCTATCTATGGTAGCGCACCTACACACTTAATTAACCACTTAAAAACCATTCAAAATTCAGCAATTAGAGCAGCACTAGGCGCATTTCGTACTACACCAACCAACAACCTTCTCATTGAATCCAACATTTATACAATAGAACACAGAAGAGAACTTTCAACGGGCAAACTATTAAATAAATTAATTCACTCTTACGACACCCCCCTTAGTCATCTAACCAAGACCACCAATAAAAAATTTAAATACCCAAGCACAATAGACCGAACCATAGAAATCTGCAAAAAACTAAACCTCCCTTACCTACCAATCAAAAGCTACCCCAACAAAAAATACAACATGGAACTAATAATAAAAGCTACAAATACTGATCTGTCCAAGTACAGTAAAGCCAACATCCCTCCAACTACCTATAAACAACTTTTCCAATCCCTAAAAAACACCCTCCCTAACCACCAATTCCTTTACACCGACGGCTCGATGGCAAATGGCATATCAAGCTTCAGCGTAACCGACGAAAACAACACCATCAAATGTGGTCTTCTTCCCCTCTATTCCTCAGTCCTTACAAGCGAACTAATAGCCATCCACGAAGCTATAAAAACAGCTTTACAAAATCCAGGAAAACACGCAATCTGCTCAGACTCCCTATCGTCCCTTAACTCCCTTACTAATTTTAACAACCACTCCTTCTACCCTACAATCATAAGAAACCTAATTACCAATCATTTCCCAAAAATCAAACTAATTTGGATCCCTAGTCACATCGGCATAAAAGGCAATGAGAATGCTGACAAAACAGCAAAAGAAACACAAAAATACCCGCTCATATACACACAAAACAACAACACTAACGACATTACACACTACCTCAAAAAGTACATTAAATTAAAACAATCCGACCTGCATAACAATACCTCTCCCTGGTACAACAATATCGTTAAAAATACTCCTTCCAGCTTTACGTAATCGCACACCAATCATAATAGGAAAACCCAAATAATTATAAACCGAATTCGACTAGGACACACCTCACTTACAAACTCACACTACATTGACAGATCCCTTCCAAACACTTGCCCATACTGCAACAGCCCTCATTTAAACATTGACCACATTTTATGCTCCTGCCCCTCCCTCTCCCAACCTAGAGCTACATCCTTCCTTTCTGACAACCCAGCCAACATCATAGCAAACCCTTCCAATGAAAACATAACTAAAGTCATTTCATTTCTTCAAAAAGCCCAACTTATTCACAAAATCTAAAATTGTTCTCACTTCTCTAAATTAAATTATTACTGTCATCCCAGACGAGCGGAAGGCCTCAGCTGCTAATGCTCTTATTATAGTTAGTTCATAGTTTTAAAACTTAAGCTAGCTTTATATAAATAAATAAATAAATTGAAAAATTGACAGAAAAACCTATCACTTCATCAATTGATTTTAACGTTTTAAGTTTGAATACTTTGACACTTTTTTTTCAATTAACCTTTATCAATGAAGTTTTTGTTTAAATAGATTAAGTTTGCAAAAACTCTATATTTCCTAATTACATTTTTAATTTGATATATGAGAAATTTGAAGTCTGTACATCATTTATATTTATCCAACAGCTTACAGGAAATTTTTGAAATTTATTTAAGATATATGATATATGAGAATATTTAAGTCTCTAACATCATTTATCTTTATCTAACAGATTACAAGAAATCTTTCAAATTTTAAAGCTAGATTGGGGCTTCCCCCTTAATGCGATTTTTAGCTTACCTTGCAAAAGATCCGACATGGTCACATCGTGCACCTCGAAGTTAGCTTTTAGAAGGCAGGCCATCATCTCACGCTCACTGTTGACACCCTCCTCCCGGAGTATTGCCACACGGACTGGGGCGTTGGATCGTTTAAGAGTTAACTCTGCCTGCAGATTCAAGGGACCCCTGTATCGCGGGGCTTTGCGATATTCAAGGCTCTTATACTCCGCCTGGGCGCACTCTGGGTTGGCCTGAAGCTTTTCAAGTTCATAACTTGTGCGCTCCCACTTCTGGTAGAGCAATCGGAGGGGCTGATCCAGCAGCTCTGATGCACCCTGCTTGATTACCACACGGGAATCGAGTCCGAATCCATCAGTCACGCCCAAATAGTAGTTCGGTATTCCGACGACTTCGTAGGTGGATCGCACTCGCTCCAAATCCGTCTCTAATATTTCCACTACCCATCCACATTCCTCCGCGAAGAGAAGCGCCAGCTCGGGACGATTGATTTCCTCGGCAGCTGTACTGTAGTTCTTTAGTTTGGCCAAAGGCTCCGATATATCCACCCTGAGACCACTCAGCCCGCCGATCGCCATTTCCACAAGACAAACGAGCAATCCTCCGTCGCTGACATCGTGTCCTGCTTTAAGAAGGCCTTCTCCCAACAACGATTGGGTGACTGCAAATGCCTTACCCAGCAGATCACTCCTTGTCAAGTTAGGTGCCTCCTTGCCCTGCTGGGCGTAGGCCTGAGCCAAAGCCGAGCCACCTAGGCGAAGGCTGTCTTCCAGGTTTATCCAGAGCAAGACAGTTTGGGAGCCCAAGCCTGGACCCTTTATATCAGGTGTAACCCTTAGCCGAACATCCGGACAGGGAGCGTAGGTTGAGATGACAAGAGTACCCGGGGACTTTATTGTCTCGCCTTCCACCTTTGCAGCCATGGACAGAGAGTCTTTTCCCCCGTCGATGGCGATATGCAACTCCTCAAGAATCTTGCAGAGCTCCTTGCAGGCGTCAAACATCTTCGCTCCTTCTCCGGGCAACTTTGCAGCCCACATCCAGTTTCCTGAACACTTGACGTCTGCAAGTTCGCTTATCTTTACAAATACAAGGTTGCTAAGCGCCTCAGCCACACACATCCTGGCCATTGCGGCGGGATCAAGCAGACCCTTGAGAGGTTGAGTACCAATTGAGGTGGCAATACCGGAAGTGCTAAAGTGAGATACGGTGGTTAACGCGTAATCCGAAAGTGGAGCTTGCAACGGACCCACGCACTGTTGCTGTACGATCAACCCTCCAACGCAGCGATCCACCTTATTTGTGAGGAAGCGCTTACTACCGACTGCCACCAAACTAAGAACTCTTTCCAAAGCCTCTTCCAGGTGCAAGTCTTTCTGCAGACGCAATTCCTTTAGCGGAGTCGGCTCGCGGCTCAACTCATACGTTCTTTTAGGCATATCGCCCAAGACATACTTGAGCTCCAAGTCAAACGGTGAAGGCGTGCTGGGGTTGCATTCGTTCAGGGCCTGTTCAATGTCCTTAGGGGCAGCCTTCTCCAGCAGCGTGACTCGCCCATCCCCAGTCACTACTCCTACAAAGCTAATAGGGCACCGTTCACGTCGGCAGATTTTCTCGAGCAGATCGCGTTGATCATCTTTGCAGAGAATGGCGTTGTTTTCCTGGTACTCGGCACCCCACAGCTCCAAGGCAGTGATTGTGGGATCGCCTAGTTGAAACTCCTTGGAGAAAATAACTGCTCCCGCGAAGCCGGGTTCTACAAGTTCCTTAAGAACGTTACCATTGCCGCCAGCTCCCTGGTCGTGAATGGCCAGGATAGGATTCTGGTCGCCAAGTTCTAGACAGGCGCGTACAACGCGATTTAACTTGTTCTCCATCTCTGGGTCTCCCCGCTGAACGGCGTTGAAGTCTAGTTCTGCGTCTCCAGATCCCTGTACCTCCACAGAGCTTGCGGCACCGCCACCCACTCCTATTCTGTACACTGGGCCGCCGATCTTGGCAAGCAGCTGGCCGCGAGTCGGCAGCAGCTTCTCACGCATCGATGCGGGCATTGTGCCTAGGCCACCGCTAAACATGATCGGTTTTACGTACTCATCCCGGTGGCTCGCAACAGCTGCACTGTTGAGGCCATATGAGAGGGCGAAGCCGGAGATCACCGGCTCGCCGAACTTGTTTCCGTAGTCTGAGGCGCCGTTGCTCGCCTCTATGAGCACCTGAAGCGGGGGTGCAAACGTCTCAGGATACTTATAGTCTGAGGGCTCGTACGGCTGTTTATAACCTGCGTGGTTTAAAATCAATAAAGGTAAAATTGAGTAAACTATTCCCGAAAGTATAAGAGTATAAGGGATAAGTTGCTGATGATGTTATTTTAAAAGATTATTATTATAAAACTGGTCTTGTTCCTTACTATTCCTCAAATATTTCAAGAGAACTAAAAGCCATCCACGAAGCTAGAAAGGCCGCATTACAAATTACACGATACTAAAGAATATCCTTCGAAAGGTCTTTCCGGCAAATAAGTTTTTTACATTTTAGCTGTTAGTCAACAAACCCAGCATATAGATGGTACAACACTTTAAAACGAGGACGGAGGCTAACTTCGGCAAGCCGAAGTTTTAATACCCTTGTAGACTTTGCCGAAATTGCTAAAACTGAAAAAGTAGCGAAAGGAATAAGATATACATAAATAGACTAGATTTGCATCGTTTGATGTCAATTGCTTTTATACTGCAAAAATGTCATATAAAAATAGAAAAAAGGGATACTTTCGCAGCCTTTAACAATTTTTCCTACGGAAGCTATAAGATATAGACGTCCGTCAGTAGCTTACACACTGCGCGAAATATTCTGAAAATCATCAAATAGGATATAGACGTCCTATCGCCAAGAGCTTTTACCCTGATCAATGTATGGATAAAACAAGAAAGGAAAGCTAACTTCGGGCGGAGCCGAAGTTGATATACCCTTGCAGAATATTATGTACATTATATTCTCCAAAATTATTCATATAATGCATTCTTAATACTCATAAAAAATCCCAACTTCCTAACTTTAAAAACACCAAAGTTATGGCCTTTCCAATCGTTCAGTTATATGGCAGCTATAGGATATAGTCGGCCGATCCTTATGAAATTTGGTGGGTCGTATTGATTAACCAAATATAAAATCCATAGAAAATCCCAGCTTCGTAACTTTACAAACATTAAAGTTATGGCATTTCCGATCAATCAGTTATATGGCAGCTATAGGATATAGTCGGCCGATCCCGGCCGTTCCGACATATATACTGCGTGCAAAGGAAAGAAGGGTGTGTGCAAAGTTTCAGTTCGATATCTTTGAAACTAAGAGACTAGTTTGCGTAGAAACAGACAGACGGACAGACAGACGGACAGCCGGACAGACGGACATGGCTAGATCGACTCTCCTGGTGATGCTGATCAAGAATACTTTATAGGGTCGGAAATGTCTCCTTCACTGCGTTGCACACTTTTAACCAAAATTATAATACCCTCTGCAAGGGTATAAAAATAAGATTTTGAAAGATTTATGTAAATAGCTTTTACACTGCGCGAAATATCTTCTATTCTTGCAAGTTATATCCGATTGTTCCTATGGGAGCTATAGGATATAGACATCCGATCGGGGCGGTTTTCCAACTTGATCTGCGTAAAACATGTGTTTTAGGACGACTGTGAAAGTTTCAGATCGCTAGCTTTTATATTGAGCTCGCAAACGGTATTGAAACAGACGGACGGACGGACAGACGGGCAGACGGACGGACGGACAGACGGGCAGACGGACATGGCTATATCGACTCCCCTATTGATCCTGATCAAGAATATATATACTTTATGGGGTCGGAAACGTCTCCTTCACTGCGTTACAAACTTCTAACCAAAATTATAATACCCTCTGCAAGGGTATAAAAAAACTATTTTACACTTCATTTCTTAATCTATCTGCACTGGAAAACCATCTCTAGAGTAAATTATCGATTTAATTTTTGTAAACTAGCGGAAGAAAGAATTTTGAATGTATATATTTGTTTCACTCACCTGGAATGTGAAGAGCTCCCACGCAGTAACCAGCCGTTCCCGCGATTGGAACCCCACCTCTGCCCACGCCTTGAACATCACGTAGTCGTCCGCCCGTGCCAGTAGTGGCCCCGCTGAAGGGCGCCACAGCCGTGGGCATGTTGTGGGTTTCCGCCGTAAAAATAAGGTCAGACTGCACGCTCTCCAAGCGCACTGGTCCGGGAGCCACCACGGAGGTTGGGACAATGGCCTTGTGCTGGAATCCCACCATGGCGCTGCTATTGTCGCTAAACTTAATGGTGTTGTTGGCGTTCGAGTGAGCTTGTGTGTCCATTATCATACTTATAAGTGACTTGGGCTGTTCCACCCCATCGATCACCATGCGTCCACGGAAAAACCAGTGACGCGAGTGCTCACTGTTGCTCTGGGCGCAGTCGAACAGCTCCACTGTTGTGGGATTGCGGCCGAGCTCCTTGACGAACAAATCGTGATAGTAGTCCAGATCGAACTCGTTGAAGGCTAGGCCAAGCTTTTGATTGATGTGGTCCAGTGCCGGCCGCCCCTCCTCCAACACGGGCACGACTTGCCAGTTGTCCTGACGTTCTGGTAGCTGTTCATCGAAGCTCGCAATGGGGGTGTTCTCCTCGGTGTATAGACACTGTGTCATGCGGTCGCCTATCAAAGGAACGAACCAGGCCGCCTCCGGCACCTCCGAATCATCGCCAAAAGTCAGAAGGTAGCGGGTGGAAGTTTCAACCCGACGAACCTCGGTGTATCCGAGGTTCTGGAATATGTTTACGCAGTTTGTGGAGTAGGGCGTGGAAAAGTTAAAGCGTGGACCGATCTCCAGGATCAACTGGAGCTTGCTCTCCGCTTGGAGAACGGAATGTCTGACCAGGCTCTGGCCGCTCTTCAAGGGTTGCTTTACCAGCCAGATCAGTAGCTCATCCAAGGCCAGAGAATGCTCTGCCTGCCCGCTGTACTCCAGATGATAGCAACGCTCCATGCGCACAGATACCACGGCGGCGTTCCTTTCCTGCAGTCGCCTCAGGGCTTTCTGCTCCTCGGCCGCGCTGTGTGCCTGCGCATCATAGTAGCGAAGAATGACCATGTCGTTGGGCTGTAAGAAACGAAATGCTGATCTAGTATAAAAAGTGCGGGCATCTATCGCGTCAAATCGAGTGATCTTGGCTTGCCGTGCCCACTGGGGTTATCAACTTGCGGCACCTATACCACAGCAGCAGATCAGGTTACAGCAGATCGAATGAAATCGCATACAGGCAACCGTTGCACTGCCGTCACAACTTGTTTTTGTCAGGCTGGGAATTCGCCGATAAGCTAGCGTAAACATATTTTCCATCACGAACAGCCGTTTTCAATTGGGTAGTAACCAACACCAAGTATGTACCGCAAATTGAAGCACAATAAGACTGAGCAGAGCAACACGTGCGTTAGAGCTGCGAACTAAGATCTCTCATTCTTCGCTTTGATTCCACCACTCTGTGCTGAGCTTGCCAGTGTTGAGCAAGGCCGGACACCAAGCGTTCTAATTTGAACCCGCTAGAGGGTTCTACTAATAAAAATAAAAAATGTAAATATATAAATATTAACAAAAATCGTTTGTCCAATCCTTAAAAATATTTTTTTTATCAAAACTTAAAAGTACAATAAGTAAGTCCAGTTAACAAAATAAATTAATTTTAATTCTTAAGAGTTTGGCTAGCAAGGGCACTTCTCATTTTTCATAATTAATTTAATAATTCATTTTTAATTTTAATTCATTTTTTTCTTAAAATTTCCGAAAGGTTACCAATTCTTTTGTGATTTTAAAAAGTTAAAACTTTTATATTTGGCGGTTTATCTGTATACCTTTCAATATCTCAATACCTTTATGTAAGTTTTCCATGACAGTTACCATTTCCAACAAGGAAATAATTTTAGTCAAAGACTTGACATCCTTGTTATGTTAAAAAATATCATATGATATCCTCAATATTGTTTGATTTCTCGTCCATCTGACGACTTCATAGTTAAGCCTAGTACTCACATCGACAAAAACTGTCCGCCAGTCATGAGAGAGAGCGAGAGGCAAACAGCTGGCGTTCACTTTTCGTCAACGCTTTTTCTCACCTCGGTCCTCAGATCGACGAAAAAATACCAGAAAATTGCATAGCGTTACCAGTCTGCGGAAATGAACTTTGATTGAACCCTAGCGAAAAGATTAAAAAATTTAATCTTTTGGCGTGCGCTTCTCACTGAACATTATAAGAAATGGAGGGATTGCAGGTGTTTACATGTGAGGACAAAATAACATTAATACTATCTGGGGTGCCTCTTGTCAGAGCAAAATGTTTTTTAGGTCCAGAATGTTCGAAAAAACTCAATAAAAGTGCAGCTATGAACTTTAAATTAGCAAATAATTATCAGTAAATTAAAAAAACAACTGTTAAATTTAAATTGTATTGATTTTTAATTTCTTTGTACACTGGCAGACTTGTCTTGCCAAGATATTTGATAATATCTTTTAAATGCTCTTTCCCGCAAATACGATATTTGAACTTTAACTGCTTGTCAACAAACCCAGCTGATTGACAGTACGACCGTAGCACGCTTAAATCTGATGAACTCTCGAAATTTTGGTCATACTGGAAAGATTAAAGTTTTTACGCTAGCATTCTCGTTTGTCGGTCTGAGTACTAGGCTTTATAATGTTCATTGAGAAGCGCACGCCAAAAGATTCAATTTTGTATTCTTTTTGCTAGGGTTCACCCAAAGTTCATTTCAGCAGACTGCCAACGCTATGAAATTTTCTGGTATTTTTTCGTCGATCTGTGGACCGACGTAAAAAAAGGCCCGACGAAAAGTGAACGCCAGCTGTTTGCCTCTCGCTCTCTCTCATGACTGGCGTACAGTTTTCGTCGATCTGAATACTAGGCTTTATATCGTAAAGAATGTTCAATGTTTCTCATCCTTAACTTTCCTGTCCACTCAAAGTCGCCCAGTCTGCCTTACATTTTGCTACGGGAAGTGTTTTTTAAAATACCGCAAATGGCTCCGAATGACAAAACTATTAACTTCGGGCGGAGCGGAAGTTGATATACCCTTGCAAAATACTCTGTAAATTATATTCTCCAAAATTATTCATATGATGCATTCTTAATACTCATAAAAAATCCCTTCCTAACTTTAAAAACACCAAAGATATGGCATTTTCAATATTTCAGTTATATGGCAGCTATAGGATATAGTCGGCCAATCCTTATGATTGATTAGTTAAAAATAAAACCCATAGAAAATCCCAACTTCCTAACTTTAAAAACACCAAAATTATGGCATTTCCGATCGTTTAGTTATATGGCAGCTATAGTCGGCCGATCCGACTTATATACTGCGTGCAAAGGAAAGAAGGGTGTGTTCAAAGTTTCAATTCGATATCTTTAAAACTGAGAGACTAGTTCGCGTAGAAACAGACAGACAGACATGCCTATATCAACTCAGGATACTGAGAACATATATACTTTATAGGGTCGGAGATGTCTCCTTCACTGCGTTGCACACTTTTGAACAAAATTATAATACCCTCTGCAAGGGTATAAAAATTATTATCATACCATTAAGAGTATAGAGGGAAATGGGATTAAGCAGGAAAAAGTGGTCAAATCGAGAAAGTTTTCACAAAGCTGTCCATAAAGTGTGCCAATAATTTTGTTTAGGTAATTTGTTTCTTTTCTTTATACCCTTGCAGAGGACATTATAATTTCAGTCAAAAGTTTGCAACCCAGAGAAGAAGACATTTCCGACCGTATAAAAAATATATATTCTTGATCAGCATCACGAGAAGAGTCGATCTAGCCATGTTTGTCTGTCTGTCCGTCCGTCCGTTTCTACGCAAACTAGTCCCTCAGTTTAAAAGCTATCTGCTTGAAACTTTCCCAAAAGTTGTCTTTCTATTGCTGGTAGTATATAAGTCGGAACGAGCCGGATCGGGCGACTATATCATATAGCTGCCATATAACTGATCGATCGGAAAAGCCATAACTTTGGTGTTTTTAAAGATAGGAAGTTGGGATTTTCTATGAGCTTTATTTTACAATTAATCCGACCTACCAAATTTCATAAGGATCGGACAACTATATCTTATAGCCCCCATATAACTGATTGATCGGAAGTGCCATAACTTTGGTATTTGTAAAGTTAAGAAGTTGTGATTTTTTACGAGTATTAAGAATGCATCATATGAATAATTTTGAAGAATATAATTTACAGAATATTCTGCAAGGGTATATCAACTTCGGCTCCGTCCGAAGTTAGCTTTTCTTTCTTGTTTGATATTAATTTTACCGCCAATACAGTACAAAATTTAACAACAAAATAAAGAGAACCATAATTATCCAGTAAATTTGCAATAAAAGATGGATAACTTAGTCAACGAAAAGTTTTAAATCCGAAATCCACTGACCGATAACCTATTTTTTTTTCTAATCCTTTCACTTTATACAGAATTGTTGCACGAAGACGAATTAAAAAAAATTGAAGTTTTAGACACGTTTGTATAAGTAATAGTTAAAAGTTTGTAAAAAGTCACAGAACACGAATATTCTTTTTTGTACACAAACTGTTTATGCAAAGAATCAAAATAATACACTGACTGGTAGGCAAATTTCTCGTTTAATTGCTCTTCTCGTTCCTAGATTTCTGCGCCGGCTTACAAAGCTTACTTTGACATTGTACTTTATGTGTATTAATCTGCATAAATAGGTGTCAGCATTATCGTGAGTCCCATCGAAATCTGCCAGACAAAGGCTAAACTTATGGATCGTAAGCAACCAGCCATAACAGTTAGCCGGATCGTTCGGTGAAGATTTGTTATAAAATATATTTAATGGCTTGAGAAAAGTTTTTGTTGTTGCAGCCGCACATGTAGCTAGATGTCCATCTTGCCATTGGTTAATTGTTGTACTAAAACGACGATCTTGCTCCATCTAAAATAATTCACTACTAAACAGCCTCCGCGCGACCATGCACTGTCGCCTACTCAGCACCTATGTTATGTGCATAGCCTTCGCCGCCTTGGCGGCCTGCGCGCTGATCTCATCCATGCTTTTGCGAGCGCTCTCCGTGACTTCATCGATGGAGCGCCGCGTGCTGTGAAGGAGTTCGTCTGTGCCACGGGCGATCCCTTTGACCTCTGTGTTGATAAGCCCGATCACCCACTCCAGGCCCTGCCGACCCTTGCCCGCGTTGGTGCTGATCGTCGATGTAAGGAGGTCCTCCATGTAGTGGGACAGTGGGACTCCGAACACTGTCACCGTGGCCTCCTGCTTGAGCAGAGTCTTGCTAGCGTCCGCCGGATGCGGCTCGTAGTAGAGTACTTCATCGACGCTGATGTTCCGGCAGAATGTGAGGTTATTTGTCTTTAGAACCATCTGCTTGCGCTCTGGGTCGACCGTGGATCGTTCGCTGGCGAAGCAAGTCTTTGCCGTGCCAATCAGGGCGTGCGTCCACTTTGGGAAGTACCACTTGGACTGCACCAGCCGATGCGTGTGCAGCACTCCGTTCACCACCCGCCGCTCGACCACGTCCGTGCCAATGATGGAGGGTGTCATCGGGTTGGGGTACTTGCGCCACGCCGCCTGCGTAACCGTCTCCCAAGGATGGTTAAAAATATGCTCCGACGTCCAGATTTTCATTATGCAAGCGCCGTTGTCGTCACCTTCGGGAGTGGGAAGTGAGTCCTACGAGCTGTGGGCTGAGCTGAGCCTGCAGGGACAGACGAATCGGGAAAGAGCGTTAGGAACGGTTCACGGATCAAATTTTGACGGGAAAATCGGAATTATTGAATATTTCAGAAGCAAGTTACGAGAGCTGACCTTTACTCGTGTTGTGCGCTGCTAGAGATGAAAGTTGGTCCGATAGTCCTAGCTGTCAATGGGGTGGATACACCGGCGCAGACAAAGAAAGTGCCGTAGGCACCCTGTGCACAATAATTCTTTTATTAATGTTTATAAACAATTTAACGGCTAGATCTAGAGTTATTTCACTTCTATTGTATCCTAATCCTATTCCGTGCCGAAGGTTCGTACATACTTCTCGAAGGGCCGCTTGTCCAGTCGTTGCAAGCGTGACTGGAGGAAGTCGCGGAATTTACGCATCTCGATAGCGTCCGCCCTGATCAGCCGCCTCTCCTCGTCCATCACTTCTCCCAGCAGTTCCTCGCTGTCCGCCGCCCGCCGCCACACCGACCGCTCTAAGCGAGAGCTGATCTGGTTGACGATCTTCTCGCTCTCGTAATCCATGATTTTGGCCAGTGCCTTGGCCGGTGTGCGTCGCGTATTGCGTGAATCGAGAATGGCGGAGGGGGCGGGGGTGACGTCTAGGTTCGCCTCCTTCTGCTCTGTCCTCTGCTCGATAAACTCAGTCAGAGAGGGCTCGTCAGGATGCGATTCACTGTGCGCCGAGTTGTTTTGGAAGTTGGTCAGGTGAAAGGTGCCATTGGTGTCGTAAAACTTGTAACCAAGCATCTCCAGAGCTATTTCCGTAAGTAAGTACGACATTTGGCCGAAATCACAGTTAAAACAAGGAAGCAGTATACTGCAGTTCCGGAACCAGAATTCGATAACTAGCGTGAGGTGTGGCAGCACTGACTAACAGCTGTTTTCTGTTCAGCTTTTTACATGCTCATCGCAAGAATAGTAGACGAAAGGAGCAAAAGAGGGCCTATATTTACATCGAATGCAGGCGAAGTCAGTTTAGCCATGAAAATCAACGAGAAGAACCTGTACATCTTCGCAAGAACACCGCCCTTTGACATGGAAGGTATGGGACAGAGCCCTTGCTCGTATATTGACCATTATAATGCATTAATCACCCGATCACCTTGCAGGCTTCCTCAACAAACGGGGAGAGGTGAACAAAGCCTTTCAGCGACGCTACTTCGTGCTGAAGGGCAACCTGCTGTTCTACTTCGAGTCGGGCATAGACAAGGAGCCCCTGGGTCTAATTATTGTTGAGGGCTGCACCATTGAGCTGTCCAACGAGGTGGAAAACTATTGCTTTGAAATCGCCTTTAATGGAAACCGTACCTACATACTATCCGCCGACAACCAGGAGAGCATGGAGACGTGGATGAAAGCGCTCACCTGTGCCGGTTACGAGTACAAGCGCATAATCATGGCCGAGCTAAAGCGAGAGCTACACGAAATCGAGGACTCGAGAAACAGTGAGCCACCTCTGTGAGGTATTTCCAAGATCCGTATATTCTAATTCTGCGCGTTCTTTAATACGCAGAAATGCTTGGTAACGCCATTGAAGGTCCGAAAAGTGCTTTGGAGGGAGCAAAACCCAGGCCTCCGCCCAGGCGAACGAATCCTTTTAACAGACCCGCCCCTCCTCCTCCCGAAATTTCCCTTAGGGCCGGGGTTGTTATGTCGCCCCTTCCCTTTGTCAACGGAAACTTCGGCTCCAGCAACGCTCGCCTGCAGCAGGAGAAGCTGATGGTCAAACAAGGTAACGAGTACATACATGCATTTCTTATATATATATAGTACATAGTATGCACATATTTAAAGCACTCGTGGAGCCCTTTGACTGCCCATCCAACAAAACAGCTCAAGTAAATTAGCTTAGTTCACAAGAATTTTCGATTCAAACAACGCAGCTAATATTAATTCACCGATAGACCGCAAATTTGTTGAGCAATTTGTAATCCTTTCAAGATGATATTACAATTTCAGTCCAAAGTTTGCAGCGCAGTGAAGTAGAAATTTTAGACCTATAAGGTATATTAATTATTGATCCAGCCATGTCTGTCAGTTTCTAGGCATCTAGCCTCTCTCCATATAAGTCGGCACGGATTGATCTACCGTAGCATTTAGCTCCCATGTAAACAATCGGGAAAAAAGAAAAACAAAACTTCATCGCTTTTGACTGAGATAGAGTAATTTTGTATAGTTAGACAAAATTGGTATTAATTTTTTTTAATTGATTTCTGTGGACGTTTGGTTTTTAAGAAGAACCCAAACGAATATAATTTAATGTTGTGGCCAAGAATTTAGCTTTAATTAAAAGATACTAGCTTGCCAATATATTTAAAATATGATATTGGTGAACTGGACGCCGCAGCCGGCTCGAATAAATTTCAGATGAGAGGCCCAATTTTTACAAGATAATTTGGTTTAGCGATAATGCTGATTGGGTACCTTAATAAACATTTGATAATCTTCAAGCTTTTGCTACTTCGTGTTACAGTTATATATTACATCTTCAAATTACTCTATTAATCTCTTACGAATGATTTAAAAATTAAAAGAAAAACTTTGTTTTTCAAAATACACGCATATTACTTAATATCATCTTATTAGCATCTTTTAACTTGTAAAAATCCAAGGAATAAATCATATTGATCGTCTGATTTAGTTGTTTATTTTGTTGTTGTGAGCTATGCTAAGCTTAGCTGTTTAAAAGTAATCATTAAAGTTTCAGCACATAATAGAGGCTGTTATTCGATTATTTCTAACAAATCAACCTCGAGTATGGAGCCGATTTTAAACTCAACTCTTCTTGGGCTCTATGTATGTATGTAATTGAGGCTGTTTTCCCCAAAACAATGTGGGTCTACCGATAGTCGAAGCCAGAGATAAGATCTTACCAACAGTATATAATCGTGTATAACAAGCCGCTGTCAGAAAAATTCCCAACCAAATCGGTTGCATATTGCCAAAGCCATGCTACAGTACTGTACACTTGCAGATGCCAACGGAAATGGAAGTCCGAGTGGAACGCCCCAGGCGCAACGCCGCCACATACCCGCTCCTTCTGTCGCCACCAGCGTTTTCTATCCGGACGCTAGGGATCCGGGAGCGGCTGGCGTCTTCACAGTATTATCGCGCCCCGCCAATAACAACCACAGCAGCAGGGTCATTAGCGCTGCTGAGCGACAGCGACGACGGCTTAGAGCGATGGAGGATTTCACCCGCAACCATGAGCACTACCGGCAGGAACTTATGCCTGATGTTTCCGCCTATCGAGAGCGACAGGGACAGCCTCTCATACAGTTGTAATGTAGGAGTGGCCTACTTTAACAACAAGCCAATTTCATGTATTATCCGTTTTGTGCTAAATCAAATCAAGTTTTAATTTAATTAACTATGCTTATTTTAAATATTTATTTTGGTTTTAATGAACGAAAATTTAGATATCAAAGTCTTAAGCCATAAGGGGTCAGCTTTATTTATAGGTGCAAGAACAGCACGCGACCGAAAAGCGAAATATAATACAAAGTGGCAATTTTATTTCAAAATTCTAGATTTAAAAAAAATGTAAGTTCAATTCCGGGCAATACCTTGATTAAATCACTCAATTAATTGATCAGAGTCTATTTCACATGAAAGTAAGTTTGGTTTATATTTTTGGATTTACATAATTATCAAAAGTTATTAATAAATTCAAAACTTTTAAAGGTTGTTTACGAATTGCTTCATATTTTAGTGTAATTCTCCAAAACCCCTCTTAACTCTTACTACGCCTATGAGTAACAGAATTTAAAAACTAATAATGATAAAAACAAGGAACACTACCAATTAAAATTTTTTTTTTTATTTTCATTATAAAAATCTAAAAAATATGCACATTTCTGTGTGTTTTCCATTCTTTTTTTAATCCAAGAAACACTTCTGACAACATACACGTTAAAAGATCTTTTCGCTTGGGCCTGACGAACTTTAACCCAGAGTTTATTTCAGAAAATGCGATTTGGTTTTTTTTCACCTTCCAAAACGTTGTAGCCCAGATATTCCTTTTTTATACCCTTGCAGAGGGTATTATAATTTTGGTCAGAAGTTTGTAACGCAGTGAAGGAGACGTTTCCGACCCTATAAAGTATATATATTCTTGATCAGGATCAATAGGGGAGTCGATATAGCCATGTCCGTCTGTGCGTCTGTCCTTCTGTCCGTCTGTTTCAATACCGTTTGCGAGCTCAGTTTAAAAGCTAGCGATCTGAAACTTTCACACTCTTCCTAAAACATGTGTACGCAGATCAAGTTTGAAAATCGCCCCGATCGGACGTCTATATCCTATGGCTCCCATAGGAACAATCGGATATATCTTGCAAGAATTGATGATATTTCGCGCAGTGTAAAAGCTATTGACATGAATCTTTCCAAATCGTATTTTTTTATGCATACCTTGATCAGGGTAAAAGCGCGTGGCGATCGGACGTCTATATCCTATAGCTCCCATAGGAACAATAGGGTAAAATCGGTCCAAATTTTATGTTTTTCAGAATATTTCGCGCTGTGTAAAAGCTATTGCTATAAATTTTTTTAAATCGTATTTTTTTATGCATTCCTTCATCAAGGTAAAAGCGCGTGCTGATCGGACGTCTATATCCTATAGCTCCCATAGGAACAATCGGATATAACTTTCAAGAATGGAAGATATTTCGCGCAGTGTAAAAGCTATTAACATAAATCTTTCCAAATCTTATTTTTTTATGCATACCTTGATCAGGGTAAAAGCGCTTGGCGATCGGACGTCTATATCCTATAGCTCCCATAGGAACAATACGGTGAAATCGGTTAAAATTTAATGATTTTTAGGATATTTCGCACAGTATATAAGCAATTGACATGAATCTTTCCAAATCGTATTTTTTTATGCATACCTTGACTAGGGTAAAAGCACGTGACGATCGGACGTCTATATCCTACAGCTCCCATAGGAACAACAGGGTGAAATCGGTCCAAATTTGTTGGTTTTCTGAATTTTTCGCGTAGTGTGTAAGCTACTGACATACATTTTTCCAAGTCTTATTTATTTACGCATATCTTGATTAGGGTAAAAGCGCTTGCCGATCGGACGTCTATTTCTTATAGCTTCCGTAGGAAACAGTGGCGGATCTAGGGTTGCTGGCGCCCGGGGCAAAGCGAAAGATTCCGCCCCTCCCTATTTGCTGTACGAATAACATTAGGAGTATTTTAAGTGTAAATAGGTTATTAATTATTAAAAGCTTATATGTTTGAAGAATTGTATTTCATATCGATTCTTTTGTCAGTTACAACGGAAAAAAAATTATTATTTGTGTTTTTGCAAGACAAAAAAATATTACTTTTAGAATATAACTTTTCTGGCCTTGATTGCCGCAAATTCAGCAATAATATCATTGTAGTCGAGTGATGCTGCTACTTCATTTTCAATAGATAAGTTTAGCTAAATTTAACAGCCTGTCTTGGTTCATGGTTGTGCGGAGATAAGATTTTATCAATTTCAGTTTACTGAATGATTGCTCATACGAAGCCACGGACAATGGTAGAGTCAGCAAAATTTTCAATGCCGTCACAAGTGTTTTGTACGCCTCTAACCCCAACGATGAAATATACAATAGTACTCCTTTTGGAGTGAGATCAAGACTTTCTCCCTTTTTATTGGCCCTTTTCAGAAGAAAAATGACATCTTTGATATCGTGATACAATTTCGTACCATTTAAATCATTAGAATAAATTTCAGCTAATGATTTGCATTTATCGTTTCGGTGTGTTGTTTTTGTGCCCGGATTTTTTTGAACTGGGCACCACTTGGTTTATTCGTTTCATTTTTGTGTTTTCCACGCCTAATTTGAAATAGTAGAAATATATTTTTAGAACATCAAGAAATGGAAGGTTCAATGAATAATATTTGATAAATAACAGCGAAGCATAAGTACCTTGATTAAATGTTGCAATAGAAAAACACTGCCTTGATTGGAATGTATGTAAACAAACGCGCGCATAACCTAACACGTATACTGCTCGCTCTCTCTCTCTCTCTCTAAGCGAGAAAGTTTATTATGACGTTTCGAGCGTCCCTTTTCCTTTTAATCACATCATAAAACACTTACACTTGTATTCTATAGGGAGCGTTACATGCGCAGCGCCGCGGGAAAATATGAATTCTCGAAACATATATTGCTAGTCGGACCCGATTTGGCGCCTCTTAGATGTGGCGCCCGGGGCGCTTGCCCCTTTCGCCCCCCCCTAGATCCGCCACTGGTAGGAAAAATAGTTAAAGGCTGCGAAAGTATCCCTTTTTTTCCATTTTTATATGACATTTTTGCAGTATAAAAGCAATTGACATCAAAAGACGCAAATCTAGTTTATTTATGTATACCTTATTCCTTTCGCTACTTTTTCAGTTTTAGCAATTTCGGCAAAGTCTGCAAGGGTATTAAAACTTCGGCTTGCCGAAGTTAGCTTCCGTCCTCGTTTTTGTATTAAGTTACTTCCTGACCGTAGAGGAGGAAGATTTATTTGGTCTCCCCGTATATAACGGGTGAACGCCACAGCCTTAGCCCAGATATTCGATGCTTTTCTTTTAGCCTAGAACTCAGATCGCAAAACAAGTTCGCCAACGAAAGCTATAATCTTTCCAGTGTGACCAAATTTTAAAAAGTTCATCAGATCTAAGTCCACATTGAGCTAACTTTACAACTTAAGATCCGAAGAGCAGTTCTTGGTTTTCATTTGGATCTAGAGGATACTAGAGCTAGTATTAGATTGTGGCCGACCAATAGGCCAAACGGGTCATAAAAATCTGACTACTCCTTAAAACAATTTGCTAATTGGTCGATAATTAGTCGACTTAACTCTTTTTGTTCATCACTAGTTTCCTATGCTATACCTATGCGAAAAAACGGAGTATGGCCCTGAACTTGATGTTATCATAACTCGACGTCCACCAGGCTTGATAAAATTTGTATTTAAAATTAATTTATTTGATCTAAAATAGGTGGGAGTTTTTTTTAAAGAAGGCAAACGTTTGCTACCGCTTTCTAGCAAAATATTAACTTAACTTCAAAAAGTTACTGAACATAACATGCGTATCTTAACCAGATCTACACTTTTATTTGGTTTCGTTTTTGATGCATATCGTATTTTGGAAGTTAATAGCAAAAAATTGTGTTTTATTGTTAATTTTGACCAAAAAAGTCATGTCGACTTGACATATTCGACATAATTATTTGTAATCAAGACTCAAAAACCATTGATTAAGAATATATTAATGAGATCAAATGTTAGGGCTTTAAGCCTAGTATCCAGATCGACGAAAACCGTACGCCAGTCATGAGAGAAAGCGAGAGGCAAACAGCTGGCGTTCACTTTTCGTCGGGCCTTTTTTTCACTTCGGTCTCCTGATCGACGAAAAAAATACCAGAAAATTCCATAGCGTTGCCATTTTGCGGAAATAAACTTTGGGTGAAGCCTAGCGAAAAGATTAAAAAATTTAATCTTTTGGCGTGCGCTTCTCACTGAACATTATAAGAAATGGAGGGAAAAACTCAAAAAACTCTCAAAAGTCGATTGCAGGTGTTTACATGTGGGGACAAAATAACATTAATACTATCTGGGGTGCCTCTTGTCAGAGCAAAATGTTTTTAGGTCCAGAATGTACGAAAAAACACAATAAAAGTGCAGCTATGAACTTTAAATCAGCAAATAATTATCAGTAAATTAAAAAAACAACTGTTAAATTTAAATTGTATTGTTTTTTAATTTCTTTGTATAGCGGCAGACTTGTCTTGCCAAGGTATTTGATAATATCTTTTAAAAGCTCTTTCCCGCAAATACGATATTTGAATTTTAACTGCTTGTCAACAAACCCAGCTGATTGACAGTACGACCGTAGCACGCTTAAATCTGATGAACTCTCAAACTTTTGGTCACACTGGAAAGATTAAAGTTTTTACGCTAGCGTAATCGTTTGTCGATCAGGATACTAGGCTTTACGGACGTATAAATAAAAATATCGATATTTAAAAAATTTGGCACGATACATACTTTGATTTAAACATCGATACATTTTGTCTTACCGTAAAGACGCGGTCACACTACATGTCCATCTTTGGCTGTAACCTAGCGTTGTTTGTTGTTTGTAATTTTGCTGCAAAAATAATAAAACCGCTCACAGAACTGTAAGTTAAAATAAAATGATGATAAACTCCTCTGTGAAATGGTGAAAGTGCACCCAATATCAACAAACACCTCTGTTCTGCTAAATTTATGAAAGTCTGCGTTTGTAAAGAGACGCTTCCATTTCAAAGGTTATTTTTGAGCCGGCCATTTCGTCTTGGTTTTAGCTGTGAATTTTTCTTTTCGAGTTTTGTGAATTGTTCATAAGCCAAACCAATCTTTATTGTTTTTTTTGTATCTTGTTAATAACTTTTTTTTATCGGATACGAGAAGCATCCACTCTATCTGTGGCGTCGGTTGCAGTGGCTTTCATTTTGTTTCTGTGCAAAACCACCACACTAACACAGTCACACAGCCGTGCACGCCACAGACACCACCAAACGAGGAAGAGCTGTTTTTTCGGGTAGTCGTGTGTTTATGCGAAATTCATGTCAAGAAAATTTTTAACACCATCGCATGAATCGAGATTAACTAAAGATAATTTTGTTTTTTAAATGAAATTGGAAAGATCCATCTCAACCCATCTGAAACATTATTTTCGCTATTGGAAAGCACTTTAAATAAATTGGCCTTAAGATAAAAAATAGTGACATATAATATACACGTCCATTTGTTAAAATAGTAATAAATAAAAAATAGTAATAAATATATAAATTTCATGAATTTGCGTGTCTCGCATAAACAGGGTTATATTTTGTAAATGTTCAAGTATTCATGAATTTTATAGTATAAACACTACGCGATACGCTCTGCTGCGTGCGAATTCTGGTTCTTGTTTTCAGTGCCCAACTCATCTTCTCTGCTCCCTTCCAGTTGCGTGTAGAGAGATCCAGTCCAGTTAAAAAGTAACACGAGCACCAAGAAAATGTCCGCCAAGCGCAAGGCAGGTGGGAACGGAGCCGGCCCCAACAAGCGGCGCCCGAAGAAGAAGGAGTCGGATTACGAGGACGAGTTCAGCGATGAGTCCGACGAAGATGGTGTGCATCAGCAGGCGGCTGCCGCCAACCAAATGGAGGTTCTTATCCCCCATGACGATCTTGACCCACCCAGCAAGCTGCCTGAGGACTTGCTAGCCACGCTGGAAAAGACCCCGGGCCAGATGCTGGTCGCAGGCATGGTGACCTGGGACCTAACCGGCAAGCGTGACCGCAAAAACGTTACGAAGGTGCGCCCAAACCTATACAGCTTTCACCGGTTCACGGACGAGAAGGTAAGACACCTCCATCGTCTCTTTGAAGTGTATACAGAGTGTTTCTCTTTTGCAGTACCGGTATGTGGCCAGCGGACCAAGTGCCGCCCACACCATTGTCATTAACATGGACCGTAAAGCGATGGGCTTCGGGCGCAATCCCAGCGGCCAGCTGGGCCTCAGCCAGGATGTTAAGTTGGCAGAGAAGCCCACTCTCATTCCGGCCCTGGAACAGCTGAACGTGGTGCAGGCAGCTGTTGGCCGGCACCACACTCTATTTCTCACTGACACCGGCACCGTGTATGCCTGCGGCGAAAACAAGTCTGGCCAGTGCGGCGTGGGCAATACCCACGCCAACATCTATTCGCCAACGCCGATAAACTATCGTGGGCCGCCGATCATCCGGATCGGTTGCGGGGCCGAGTTCTCGGTCATTCTGGATATAAAGGGCAGCTTGCACACGTTCGGGCTGCCCGAGTATGGCCAGCTGGGCCACAACACGGACGCAAAGTACTTTGTTAACGCCAACAAGCTGTCATTCCATTTCGAGACGTCGCCCAAGAAAGTGGTGCTGTACATAGAAAAGAGCAAGGAGGGTCATGTGACACCAGTTGATGGTGTGCAAATCGTGGACTTTGCTTGTGGCAACAACCATACGGTAAGAGGAAATTTTCCTCCAATTTTTCGGTATCTCACGGAAAATTTGCCTTACAGGTGGCCATCGACTCCAAAAAGCGCGTTTACAGCTGGGGCTTTGGCGGTTTTGGGCGCCTCGGACACGCCGAGCCCAAGGACGAGATGGTACCGCGATTAATGAAGTTTTACGATACCCAGGGTCGTGGAGGGCGCAGCGTCTATTGTGGATCCACTTTTAGTCTGATCGTCAACGAGCTTGGCCTACTCTTTCTGTTCGGACAGAACAAGAAGACTGGAGAGGCTAATATGTATCCGAAACCAGTACAGGATCTGTCGGGTTGGAACATCACCGATATTGGCTGTGCCAACACATCAATAATGATTTCAGCCGACGACACACTGATCGCCTGGGGAGCATCGCCCACGTTTGGAGAGCTGGGCATCGGGGAGTTCCAGAAGTCGTCGACGGTACCCAAGGAGGTGCCAAAGTTGGACAACATCAAAATACCTCAGGTGACCATGGGTTACTCCCACACTGTGTTGCTGGTGGACACCAGCCATGAAGCCACCAAGCAAAAGTACGAGAAAATGCCCGAGTACACCATCGATAATTAGGTGGTGTGCCGAATTTTCCACAAGCAATCAAATGCTGCCAACAACAATACTGATTCACGTAGGAAACCCTGAGAACTGATCATCGAAACTCTGCTGCTACTTATAGAAAGTGAAACTAAACAAATCCAGAAAATTTTATGCTATAAGTTAAAAGTTCATTATCACGCAAAACTCGCTATCTACATACTATACGATAATCTCAGAATACGGATAAAATGTATTTTGTTTTCAAGCTCTAATTTATTTTCGTAACTGATACAATTCTATTCTTAACTTATACCTTTTTCTATAATTTATTGCCGCCCACCTTTAGGCTTACAGCCAATCCCGCAAAACATATGTTGTCCCATTTGTAATTTTAAATTTACACGTAACAAGTTACAGTATTCTGCATTCATTTCGAACAGAGTGCACAAAAGCAAGCCACAAACTATAAAACACATAAATTTACAAACTAAGCGCATAGGTTACATATAAAAAGTATACCATGGAAAGAATCCAATACCAGTTGCAACTATTACTAGTACATCATGCATTTTAATCATATACAAAGGAATATTTAAATAAAAAGAGTGTTAGTATTTAGATTGGGTCTATCTATTATTTTAATCTGCGTCTCGATTGGTCTCCTTTTTTCTCAACATACTGAAAATTAGGAATGTCTAAAAAGCGCCTTCTCCAACATCGTCCCGAATGAAAGCGTCAAATCTTTGATTATGTCACCGCCAAATATTCTTTTTTTTTAGCATATGTAGTCTTGATCAGCATCACCAGGTGAGACTTTCGCAATCGTCTTTTTACAGAACAAGTTTGAAACGCCGCTGATCGGACGTCCATATTATATAGCTGTCAATCGAAAGGATTATTTTTTTTTTTGTTTTCGTCAAATTAAATGTTTTTATGCCATTTTTGACCAATAAATCGGATGGCTATATTTGTCATATTGGCCACATGGTTCTATGCAGTTGAAGGAGTCATTTCAGACCCTATAGAGTATTAACATATGTGTACTAGATGGAGTGAAAAGTAACCTCCTTGGGAATGAACAAAATTTTTTTTTCTCAAATGTTTTTTTATTTTCTTCAATGTCCCCTTTTAGCTCGATACACTTATTCCAGCGATTTTCCAACTTCTTGATCCCATCCGAAAAGTAATTTTTCGGAAGGTCTGCAAAATACTCCTCCGCGGCGTCGATGACTTCCTCGCGTGAGCTAAATTTTTATACCCGTTACTCGTAGAGTAAAAGGGTATATTGTATTCGTGCAAAAGTATGTAACAGCTAGAAGGAAGCGTTTCCGACCCTATAAAGTATATATATTCTTGATCAGGATCACTAGCCGAGTCGATCTAGCCATGTCCGTCTGTCCGTCTGTCTGTCCGTCTGTATGTTCGTCTGTATGTCCGTCTGTCCGTCTGTCTGTCCGTATGAACGCTGAGATCTCGGAAACTATAAAAGCTAGAAGATTGGAATTTTGCATGTAGATTTTAGAAGATCCTACGCAGCGCAAGTTTGTTTCAAAATGGTGCCACGCCCCTTTAACGCCCACAATCGCTTATATACGATTTTAAAAATTTAAATATTTCGGAAAAGTAAAAATGCAGTTTTATTGTGTTTATCAATACCTATCGAAATCTATCAAATCGAACCATTCGTTAAAAAGTTATGCGTGATCAAAGTTTCTAGTCTCCATCTCCCTCGCACTCCCTTTACCTGAGTAACGGGTATCTGATAGTCGGGGCATCCGACTATAGCGTTCTCTCTTGTTTATTAATGAGATATCTTTTCAGGTTCGGGAAAAGATAATAGACCGAGGGAGCCAAATCGGGACAATAAGGTTGATGCCGAAGCAATTGGAGCCCTAAGTCACTTATTTTAGCCGTAGTTGCTACGCTCTTGTGCGCTGGTGCATTGTCTTGCAAAAACAAAATTTTTTTTCGCTTCATGTGAAGCTGTTTTGCAGCGATTTCGGCCTTCAATCGCTCCAACAATGCACAGTAATACTCGCTGTTGATGGTTTTTCCATGCCATGACAATCCCAAAAAACTGACGCCATAACCTTTCCGACCCATCGGGCCGCCCTCGGCCGCTTTGGTCCGGAGTGGTCTGGAGTGTACTAGTGGATCCAGGTTTCATCAACAGTTACCAATCGACGCCAAAAGTCCGCCGGATTCCGCATCAGTAAGTCCAAACACACTTTCGAACTGCTCTCGCGTTCGAGTTTTTGGTCCAGAGTGAGCATGAGCGGCATCCAGGAGCAGGATAATTTTTTCATATGCTGAATCTCGCTCAAAATATGGCGTGTGCGCGCAATACTGATCTTTGTAGCATCTGCTAACTCGCGCACTTACACTTTGCGATCAGCCAATACCATTTTGACATGGTCCTCTGTAACCGCATCGGAATGCCTGTCGCTGCGGACTTCATCGGTAGTGGAGTTGCGGCCACCACGAAACTCTCGAAACCAATATATCACGGTGTAATCTATGGAGCATTTGCCCCATAATATTTGTCGAATTTTTCTTTTGTTTCCTTCGCCGTTTTGCCTCTCAAAAAATTATGTTTTAGGAGAGAACGAAAATAGTTTTTGTCCATATTCAACATGATGCCAAACACGTCAACAACAATCAGCTGCTAAAACAAAAGTAAGGGCAGTATCGCACTGAAATTTGGTATGCTTGCCTAAATATGAACGCACCGTAAGGAACCATAACCTTCTTTGCAGTAGTAGCGCATTCTGGCAGTCAAGGAGGTTACTTTTCACCCCACCTAGTACTTGATCAGCATGACTAGACGACTTCAAACGCTTTTTGTTATATTCAAATAAAATGTTTTTAAGAATTAGGAAAACGATTTTTTATTTTATTACATTTTAATAGGTGGTCAAGCATGGTCAGTTTTATTTTTGAGAAATAAGTATTAATATAATATTTGGGGGTAAGCAAACGAGTTTTGTTCAAAATGTTATTTTAAGGAGGTGGGCAATCGTTTTTGGTTAAAACAACTATTTTTAAGACAATGATTTTTGTTAAACGATTGTTGTTAAAAAATGCTAGTTTTAAGAGATGGTCAAATTTAAATTATTATTTTTATTATTTTTGATAATTATTTATTTGGTCGAAATAACGATTTTAAGAAGTGGCCAAACATTTTTTGTTAAAATAAACTATTTTTTAGAGGTGGACAAACGTATTTTGTAAAGTATTACTTTGTAAGAGGTGGGCGAGAATGTACATATTTTTTTAAAGAGGTGTGAATTTTTTTGCAAAAGAGTGAACATCAATTTTTTGAACAAACAAGAAAGGAAAGCTAACTTCGGGCAGAGCCGAAGTTGATATACCCTTGCAGAATATTCTGTAAATTATATTCTCCAATATTATTTAATTATTTCAACTTCCTAACTTTAAAAACACCAAAGTTATGGCATTTCTAGTCATTCAGTTATATGGCAGCTATAGGATATAGTCGACCGATCCGGGTCGTTCCGACTTATATACTACCTGCAGTAGCATGACAACTTTTGGGAAAGTTTCATGCAGATAGCTTTAAAACTAAGGGACTAGTTTGTGTAGAAACGGACGGACGGACAGACGGACATGACTAGATCGACTCTCCTTATAACTGATTGATCGGAAATGGCATAACTTTGGTGTTTGTAACGTTAGAAAGTTGGGATTTTCTAAGGGTTTTATTTTTGGCCAACCAATATAATTTACAGAACATTCTACAATGGTATATCAACTTCGGCTACGCCCGAAGTTAGCTTGCCTTTCTAGTTATTTTTATAAATTATTACTTTTTAAAAAGTTGGCAAACATAAGAATTTGTATTATTTATTTATTTATTTTTATTTATTTTTAAATATGTATGTAAAATACATATATTTGAGGGGTGGCAAACGATTTTTGTTAACGATGTCTCTTAAATTTTTTTATATTTTTCAAAATATTTTCGTTTTTTGCTTTCACTAAGGGGATTGCAGACTAAATAAAACCAAAGTATTTTTATCTCTCTGGTAAAAGTGTAAAAATAACAATTAAAAAATTGGATCTGTTCGAAACGATTGCTTAATCATTTTTCGTCACAAAATTTAATACCAGAAATTTTGTATTTTGAAAGTGCGATCGTCACGACTTTTTACTTCACTGAGATATGTTTTTGTTTGATAATAAAAAAATAAAATAAAAAATAAATTTTCACTTAATATTTTTTACCAAATTTTTTAACCAAATATCTTAAAAACAACGAAATTTTGAAAATCGTTCTATTGACAGCCAGAAGATATACACGTAAATTGTCAATATACCTTGAAAGTCTTCCAAAACATATTTTGTTAAAATATAAAATATTCTTATTGAAATTAAAATGAATAAATTTCCAAATAAGTATTTTGCATTTAATTGTATCTGTCAAATATTTAATTTGAAGTTTTCCAGTAAATGACAAAGTGATCAAGTTTATTTTGACACGTGGTAATGGATACAGCCGATTATTTTTGAAAACATTCGAAATATCCAGGCCTTAATGTTATTATATTCGTTTCAATGACATCAAAAGGATTATAGTACTCCAATTTGTATACTCTTGCGGAGGGTTTTATAATTTTACTCAATGCAGTGAAGGCTACTTTTCTGACCCTATAAAGTATTTATATTCTTAAACACCAGGCGAGTCGATCTAGCCATGTCTGTTCGTTTATACGCTTCTTAGTCCCTCTGTTTTAAAGCTATTCAGATGAAACTTTGCGAAAAGTCTTCTTTCCGTTGCAGGAACGAACCGGATCGTCCAACCATATATTATCCCAAAATTTTATAATCGGGAAAAAAAGAAACAAAATTATAACTTCGTTGCTTTTTTACATATAAATTTCTACGTCGAAAAATAAAATAAAAAAAAATTAAATAAAAAACAAATTATTAAAATAAAATTAATTTATATTTTTCAGCTTATGTATATTTCAAAATTCACAAAATATGTTGGTTAGATAGCTTGAATAACGTTCGACTGTAGCTTTCCGCTTGAATGGTGAATTTATCAAATTTCAAATAAGAAATTAGCCGCACTACGGAAGGATAAAGGGTCAGTCCTCCGAGAGATGTTTGACGGCATTTTCCGAATTTTAACCTTTTCTGACTGAAGTCCCAGTTCAGCCTTGCATGCTGATGTCCTGTCGATTGAAAGCGAAAGTGTGCTAAAAGCTCCGTCGGAAAGCTCTCTCTCGCACCCGACGCCTTTTGACTTTGTAGTCCTATTATTCGGCCGGAGTTCCGCCGCACTTTTCCCTGGCACAGTCTTCCGTCGTGGTCCTGTCGAGTAATGTGCGCCGCTGAGGAACAGTCCCTGCACGTCGCGCCTTGAGTTTCATTTTACCTTTTTTTCGGCCCCCCCTACACTCATACATCCAAACACTAACATACACTCACATACGCGCGCACCTTTGACAATATCAATTAAATATTTCAAAAAAGTCGACGGGCATCATTTTTTAAACAGTTTTTTACAAGAGTGCGTAAGAGTATTACGCAGAAAATAAATATTTGTTTAATTATCACGACGGCGCAACAACCGATGAAGCAAAATAGCTCCAACTGTAATTTACAGTGCCTTCGATAAAACAAGCAACGGCGACATCAACAACACAACATCAACGAGCAGCAGGATCAGCAACAAAAGCAACAATATATGTATTTCGTTAAGCAAAACAGGGTAGGTTGTTACGTATTCGTAGTGGGGAATCCTTGTTTATATGTGTGCCTGTTTTAGTGTGCTTGTATGTGCGAGTGTCTGTGTAACATAACTTTTGACTTTATCATGCAACGCGTTTTTACGGTTAGTAATTATGGTGTCGATATTTACGTAGCCCCTGCGATAAGCACTTGTCAGATTTACGATGTGGGTGTGTGTTTGTGGATGAGTGGACTCCGACGCGTTCTCCACCATTCGACATAGAAACTAATTAAAAAGTGGCCTGCCTAAAATCTATTCCTCAAAATGAGACAGAAATTAGTTGGCTCTTTCGTTAAGAAGTTATAAATTCCATTTATAATTATTGTTCATCGCACAGTTACAATGGCTTTTTTTTGGCATTGTGGCGGTCACGACTAAGCCAACAAAGAAGATGAAGCCTGGACAAGCACCCTTGACTACCCCATAACCTCTGACCATTTGCCTCGTAATACGAATACAAAAGCTGCCGAAATCAATAAGGACAGACAAAAAGCTACGGGCAGGCTTTAACGTCATCCTGCCAAACAAAAGTGAGGCAATGGGATGTGTATCCCGTGCTTTGGCCAGGACAGGTCTCCCAGCTGCATGTATCTGTGTATCTGCATGTGCCACATTAACTCACCTGTGGCGGGCACTTTTCACATCAGCAGCAACATCAATGGCAAATCTCGTCATCTACGCTTCCTCTCGCTCCCCACAAATCCTTGCGGCCATTCCTTCGCCTTCTCTTTCACCTTTCAGCCGCTCTTTTGTCACCTTTGTGCTTGTTGCTGACGTTTGAGTGACGTAAATTAATAAATATACATTTCACTATCAATAAGGTTAGTCCTTGGAATGGCGAAACGCAAGGGCTGTTAAGTTAAGTGCCGATATCACTATAATTTAAAGGGTATTATTTGGATAAGCTGTTAGCAAGGATTTGTACGAACAAAAACCAAAAAAAAAAAAAAAAACAAGAAAGGAAAGCTAACTTCGGGCGGAGCCGAAGTTGATATACCCTTGCAGAATACTCTGTAAATTATATTCTCCAAAATTATTCATATGATGCATTCTTAATACTCATAAAAAATCCCAACTTCCTAACTTAACAAACACCAAAGTTATGGCATTTCCGATCAATCAGTTATATGGCGGCTATAGGATATAGTCGGCCGATCCTTATGAAATTTGGTAGGTCGGATTTATTGGCCAAATATAAAACCCATAGAAAATCCCAACTTCCTAACTTAACAAACACCAAAGTTATGGCATTTCCGATCAATCAGTTATATGGCAGCTATAGGATATAGTCGGCCGATCCTTATGAAATTTGGTAGGTCGGATTTATTGGCCAAATGTAAAACCCATAGAAAATTCCAACTTCCTAACTTTACAAACACCAAAGTTATGGCATTTCCGATCAATCAGTTATATGGCAGCTATAGGATATAGTCGGCCGATCCCGGCCGTTCCGACATATATACTGCGTGCAAAGGAAATAAGGGTGTGTGCAAAGTTTGAACTCGATAGCTTTAAAACTGAGAGACTAGTTTGCGTAGAAACAGACAGACGGACAGACGGACAGACGGACAGACGGACAGACGGACATGGCTATATCAACTCAGGAGGTGATCCTGATCAAGAATATATATACTTTATAGGGTCGGAGATGTCTCCTTCACTGCGTTGCACACTTTTGACCAAAATTATAATACCCTCTGCAAGGGTATAAAAATATTCTTTGAATAGCAAAAATTGTTCTAACCCCAAAAACTACTTAAAGAGGTTAGATTTATGTATAAATGAAGACTTAGTTGTCGTTCGCAGAATATATATATACATATATATATATATATCCAAACTGGTAGGGCTCCTCTATCGGAATCGTTAATGAAAATCTATTAAACTATAGCGCTGTTGTGCAAATTTCAAGAATTGGTGATGTTGTGGCCGGTTCGGCTATATTTTAAAGTTGACTGGTTGCGTTCTTGTTGGAAATATGGGTCGAATGACACCACTTTAGCTAGGGATCAAAAGCTCTGTTCCAAAATTATTGAAAAAACACGATTTTTGAGCTCTTAAAATAAAAATCTGTTTTCCTTTGTCAGTTTGTATACAAAAATTAAATCGGTGTTTTAATGTCTGGAACGATTATCATTACAACAAAAAGCTAGAGCTGAAATGTATCTTTGGTCTATTCCTTTTTCTAAACCCGCTGGAAAATATCTCAAAGAAGTTGTACTTTCAAAACTCTCTTATCGGAAGTCCATGTCCTATAGCCGCAATAAAAACAATCTTGTTAAATTTATAAAATTAAAATTATTTCGTAAAAAAGCTAATAACAAGGAATAAAACAATCTTCGGCCAGCCAAAGTTTATATACCCTACAAAAAGTAAAAATTTTAAATTTCGATTAGTATGCGTATATGGTAAACAAGAAAAGAAAGCTAACTTTGGGCGGAGCCGAAATTGAAATGCCCTTGCAGAATATTCTGTAAATTATATTCTCCAAAATTATTTATATAATACATTTCTAATAATCATACTTCTTTTGAACTTGACATACATATCTACCCTTTTCAGCCTCTTTTATAATGCAAGGGAGTGACGGGCAGTAATTATATAGGATAGAATTAATTATATAGGATATAGTCGCCGGCGACTCTTCTCCTTCGATGGCGACCGTCAAAAATTGGTTTAACGAGTTTCAACGTTGTTGCACGTCGGTTTTTGATGAGCCACGCCCAGGTACCCCGAAAACGGATACCACGGAGGATAACGTGACAAAAATCCACGATCTCGTATTGGCAGACCGCCGATTGAAGATACGCGAGATAGCTGAGACAGTAAGCATGTCAAAAGACCGCGTGGGTCAAATCCTGCATGAAATTTGGGTGCCGCGTTTGCTCACTCCGGACAACAAACGCAATCGTGAGGCTACTTCAGAGCAGTGTTTGACGCTGTTTGAGCGCAATCCGTCGTTTCGTGACCGTCGACGAAACATGGATCCACTGGTACACACCAGAGACCAAAGAACAGTCGAAACAGTGGAGTTCACCCGGCGAACCTGCTTCGAAGAAGGCAAAGACTGTCCCATCGGCCGGAAAGGTGATGGCCTCCGTTTTTTTGGATTTACAAGGTGTGATCTACATCGACTACCTGGAGGAGGGCAAAACGGTCACAGGACTGTACTACGCCGAATTATTGGGCCGATTCGCTACCGAATTGCAGAAAATATCGCCCCATTTGGCGAAGACAAAAGTGCTCTTCCATCATGACAACGCACCGGCTCACACTTCCGCCCTCGCCAAGGCCAAATTAGTCGAATTGGGCTACGAACTGCTACCCCATTCACCATATTCTTCAGATTTGGCCCCGTGTGACTTCTTTTAGTTTCCAAGCTTGAAAAAGTCACTCGCTGGACAGAAATTTGAGTCGAATGAGGTGGTCGTCGCCGACAAAGAGGCCTATTTTACAGACCTCGAGAAAACGTATTTTTCAGACGGGTTAAAGAAGTTGCAGCATCACTGGGTCAAGTATATCGAGCTAAAAGGAGATTATGTTGAGAAATAAATCGCCACTTTTCCAAAATTTTCGTTTTTCTTTTGGAGGCTAAGTACTTCGAACCACCTTCGTATGTACTACCTGCAATAGAAGACTGAGAGACTAGTCGGACCTGGCTGGATCGACTCTGCTGGTAATGCTGATCAAGATTTTATATACTTTATAGGGTCTAAAATTAACTCGTTGCAAACTTCTGACTGAAATTATAATTAAAATACTCTCAGCAAGGGTATAACAACTTGATGAAAATTTAAGAAACAATTTCAGAAAAAGACGGACCGAATTTAACTGAATTATTTGTACTTTTCTGGGACTTCAAAAAAAAAACGAGGACGGAAGCTAACTTCGGCAAGCCGAAGTTTTAACACACTTTGCCGTAATTGCTAAAACTGAGAAAGTAGCGAAAGGAATAAGGTATACATAAATAAACTAGATTTGCATCGTTTGATGTCAATTGCTTTTATACTGCAAAAATGTCATATAAAAATGGAAAAAAAGGGATACTTTCGCAGCCTTTAACTATTTTTCCTACGGAAGCTATAAGAAATAGACGTCCGATCGGCAAGCGCTTTTACCCTAATCAAGATATCCGTAAATAATAAGAAATTTGGACCGATTTCACCCTATTGTTCCTATGGGAGCTATAGGATATAGACGTCTGATCGTCACGCGCTTTTACCCTAATCAAGGTATGCATAAAAAAATACGATTTGGAAAGATTCATTTCAATAGCTTATATACTGCGCGAAATATCCTAAAAATCATTAAATTTTAACCGATTGCACCCTATTGTTCCTATGGGAGCTATAGGATATAGACGTCCGATCGCCACGCGCTTTTACCCTGATTAAGGTATGCATAAAAAATAAGATTTGGAAAGATTTATGTTAATAGCTTTTACACTGCGCGAAATATCTTCCATTATTGCAAGTTATTTCCGATTGTTCCTATGGGAGCTATAGGATATAGACATCCGATCGGGGCGGTTTTCAAACCTGATCTGCGTACACATGTTTTAGGACGACTTCACAGTTTCAGATCGCTAGCTTTTAAACTGAGCTCGCAAACGGTATTGAAACAGACGGACAGACGGACATGGCTATATCGAATTCCCTATTGATCCTGATCAAGAATATATATACTTTATGGGGTCGGAAACGTCTCCTTCACTTCGTTACAAACTTTTGACCAAAATTATAATACCCTCTGCAAGGGTTTAACAAGTTTTATTTTATTTTTGGCCGTTTATTAAATCATACTCTCTTGTTTGATTTTATAATAACTAATGCGCTTGCCAGCTTGTATATTAACGATTTACCATGACTTTTTAACAAAAAAACCAAAAGGCATTTTCGGTTTTTAAAAATTTAACAAATAAAAGGTTGTTGAATTGATTAGCCGCTGAAGGAATATCCAAACTAAGTTGGATAAACTCTACCTCAGTGTGAGCGGACCTTCAACCGAGTCTCGAGAAACCTGACCTAATACCCAAATTCCATAGACCAGATTTTGCCAGATGTAAAACTGTGTGTCCCACTGAGTACTATTCACAATCTTTTTATACCCTTGCAGAGGGTATTATAATTTTGGTCAAAAGTGTGCAACGCAGTGAAGGAGACGTCTCCGACCCTATAAAGTATATATATTCTTGATCAGGATCACCTCCTGAGTTGATATAGCCATGTCCGTCTGTCCGTCTGTCCGTCTGTCTGTCCGTCTGTCTGTTTCTACGCAAACTAGTCTCTCAGTTTTAAAGCTATCGAAATGAAACTTTGCACACACCCTTCTTTCCTTTGCACGCAGTATATAAGTCGGAACGGCCGGGATCGGCCGACTATATCCTATAGCTGCCATATAACTGATTGATCGGAAATGCCATAACTTTCGTGTTTGTAAAGTTAGGAAGTTGAGATTTTCTATGGGTTTTATATTTGGCCAATCAATCCCACCTACCAAATTTCATAAGGATCGGCCGACTATATCCTATAGCTGCCATATAACTGATTGATCGGAAATGCCATAACTTTCGTGTTTGTAAAGTTAGGAAGTTGGGATTTTTTATGAGTATTAAGAATGCATTATATGAATAATTTTGGAGAATATAATTTACAGAGTATTCTGCAAGGGTATATCAACTTCGGCTCCGCCCGAAGTTAGCTTTCCTTTCTTGTTTTCTTTCCCATAAGCGTGATTTTTACCGAAAAACACAATCCTAAAAAAATCGGATGATTGGAAAAGCTCTCTTTACATTGCTCAAAAATTACATTTTTATTAGAAGCGCGTATTTCACCAATGTTTCTTTGAGAACATAAATATTTGTTTTCTATAGATTGTTACATTATTTTTTGGTTGCAAAGCAAGATTAAAATTAACTTTTTAACGTGTTCATTTGTAATCCACGAGCAACGAGTAATGAGTGCAATAGGGTTGTCGTAAAAAGGTAAATTAAATTTTTTGCCTAAGGTCCTCCACAAAAAGTAGTGAAAGGCCTTCGCCTGATGGAAACTGGGACTTGAGAAGAGCGAGGAAGAGGAGCAAGCCTTGGGGTTGTTTGTCGAGTGCACAAGGTGCAAGGTTGCGTTGTGTCAGAGGGTCTAGGTACTGAACGCAACAAAGAGCATTAGTTACATACATATGTATATATGTATCTTTAAGTGGGCTTGAGTGTCAGTGCCAAACTGGCAAATATGTGTGGCGGCGACTTATGTGTGGGTGGTTGTTTGGGGGAGGACATTTTGATGGCATTTTGTTACATTTCTACTTTTTTTTGTCGCACACCACATGGCAGCTCCTTTAGTATGAAATGAGGCGACCAGACAAACGCGTCACCATCGAAGATAGCCCAAATCGAATACGGAACAGGCCTGTAGCAGGAGCATCGGAGTCGGGGACGGATTCCGCCACGGGATCAAAATCATGAACCGGGACAATCTGCAGCAGTGGTGGGAGAACTCGTACCGGCGCCATCACCCGGAGCCCAGCCATGGCGTCGACTCCGCTGAGCTGCACTACTCGCTTCAGGAGACCAACCAGCTGCCTACGGACCAGGTTGGGTACGCGCAGGACTTCGACTATAGCAACTTTAGCTTGGAAAATCCCGACGACATTGACTCAGAGCACTCCATCTCCTCGCTAACGCTGCTTCTTTTGGCGGTCAGCTACGGCCTGGTGGTCTTCGGCGGCGTTGTGGGGAACTCTACGCTGGTGCTGACTCTGTGCTCGGCCTCCTCGGTGCGACTACGCAACCCGCTGCTACTGGCCGTCTGTATTGCCGACCTACTGGTCACCGGCATTTCGGCCCCGGTCACGCTCCTTAATCTTGCGATGAACCGTCGGACGCGATCTTTGCCGCTTGTGCTCTGCAAGGTCTTACACTACATTCAGGTAATTGGGTTGTGACATATTAAATTCCTCTGTTGACACTTCAAGGTAATTTATTTTAATTTGCGACATTAACTTAAAATCGGGGTTTAAGAAACTGTGAGAAACGTAGATAATTTATTAAGCAACATTGGGGTAAATTAAAATTGTATTCTTTGTTGTTGTTGGCAATGTCTTCGAGAAATGTGCAATAATTAAGCAGACATGATTTTGTTTTTCAAAAAGTACTGGGGCAAGAAAAGTAAATAATAAATTTCCACAGGAAATTTTTCAATAAAAAATTAAGCTTCAGAAAATATTTACGTTAAATTTATAAAGCAGACGATTTAAATTTAATTCAAAGGGATGAACAGAATCATTTGACATTATGCAAATTTATTCGTAACGCTGCGCATTAATTTTAAAGAAGAAAGCGAGAAAACTGTTAGCGGGGCGGGGATCCTGCTTGGTCTCAGCTTGTGGTGTTTAGAAATGCACCATCAGCTGGGGCATCTTTATTTTAACAAGAAGAAAAGCTAACTTCGGCCGGAGCCGAAGTTGATATACCCTTGCAGAATATTCTGTAAATTATATTCTTTAAAATTATTCATATGATGTATTCTTAATACTCATAAAAAGTCCCAACTTCCTAACTTTAAAAACACCAAAGTTATGGCATTTCCAATCGTTCAGTAATATGGCAGCTATAAGATATAGTCGGCCGATCCTTATGAAATTTGGTAGGTCAGATTGATTGGCCAAAAATTAAACCCATAGAAAATCCCAACTTCCTAACTTTACAAACACCCAAGTTATGGCATTTCCGATCAATCAGTTATATGGTGGCTATAGGATATAGTCGTCCGATCCTTATGAAATTCGGTAGGTCGGATTAATTGGCCAAAAATAAAACTTATAGAAAATTCCAACTTCCTAACTTTAAAAACACCAACGTTATGGCTTTTCCGATCGTTCAGTTATATGGCAGCTATATAATATAGTCGCCCGATCCGGCTCGTTCCGACTTATATACTACCTGCAATAGAAAGACAACTTTTGGGAAAGTTTCAAGCAGATAGCTTTAAAACTGAGGGACTAGTTTGCGTAGAAACGGACGGACGGACAGACGGACAGACGGACATGGCTATATCAACTCAGGAGGTGATCCTGATCAAGAATATATATACTTTATAGGGTCGGAAATGTCTCCTTCACTGCGTTGCAAACTTTTGACTGAAATTATAATACCCTCTGCAAGGGTATAAAAATTGGTTAGCTGAGTAACGGGTATCTTATAGTCGAGCCTGTTTGCGGACAAAAAAGTTTTCTATCTTTCGAAAAATACAAGTTTTTCTTAGATTGAAAAATATTTATAAAATAATCATGGTTCAATAAAATAATTTTACGAGTCATTTCCTTAATTCGGGAGTCCAAAAGCAACGGTAAACCAAACTTTCATCTCTAAAGTAAACTGTCGATAAAATTTGTAATTGTAATTGTTTGGTTTAATGGAATTTGCTTATGTTTTGTCTTGATCGACGAGTAATTTGTTGTTTTTCGGCCAAAACTTAACTCAACTTAAACTTCACCCAAGTGCTTTTACGCACATTTTTGCTTATATGGTATTTACATTTTTTTTGGCCTCTTTTTTTAAAATTTTTTTTTCTGAATGCACAACATTTGAAGAATATTGCGTTAAAATTTTTTATTTATCCGAGTTATGGGCAGTTGAACGTAGGTAAGTTAGCTCGTTTTGTATGCGATTTTTCGATGTCCAAAACTTTAAAAACGCTCTCCTGAAAAGTTGCAATTTCAAAGTCGATGAACACGATCCTGCAAAATCTACTCAACGAATCGTTTTGAAATTTTGCACACAATTTCTGTACCGAAATCCGCAGGTACTGACGTCGAGTTTTTTTTTGAATTATTATTTTTCATTTTATAATAACGAATGTATCGAATTTTTAGGCTAAAATCACGTTTTACCAAAATTACGTTTACCAAAAATCCAAAAATTGAATAATAAAAAAAATAAAAAAAAAATCAACGTAGTTACCTCTAGAAACATATTACCTAATAAACAAATTTTTTTTGGTTTTTCTGATGATCCAGTAACGAGTTCTGCTGTTCACCGCAAAACCTCTTTTCTTGGAGGCGCCTACGGAACTTTGCTGGGAACGGCTCATTAATTTTTTTTTTATGAAAATTTGTGAAAACGTAGGTTAAATGTTTTACTTTAATATAATTATAAAATAATTTATCTGACATTAACCTTATCGCGTAAAAAAATTCATGAAAATAGGCCTTTTTTGGCCGAATTAACCATACCCCCCTTACGGGGGTCTTCGAGTCTAAAGGCTTGAATTTCGAGCTTTTTATTAACAATTAATAAAAATAAAAGCAATAGATATTTTTACGTTCCGCTTTATTTATCATTTGTTTATTAAACTTAAAGGAGTACATAAAATATATTTCAAAAAAAAAATTTTTTTTCATTAAGTTATTTGTTCTTGAAGAAGAGAGGGGAAAGAAGAGGCCGTGTCCTCGTCGCCATGATTTCTATGCTTGTCGTTATTTAAAAAATAAAACAATTCTTAATGATTACGAATGTCGCTATGGCATGAAGCACAAAAAAAAACAACTTTTTTTATGAAATGGCGGCTACTTAAAGAAAAAAGTCGATTTTTTTTACTAATTTTTACATTTTGTCAAATTTTTAAAAATATTATAAATTTAAAATTTTATATTTTTTGTTGGTTCCGGCGATAGAGATATATTTAAAGAATATTCATGCCAAATTTCAAGTAAATCGACTGATTATAACTTGAGATATAGTGGCGACCGCATCAAAAAAATTAGTTTCGAGAAAAACGCGTTTAAAGCTTTATTGTTCCAGTCGTTCGCTCTACCGGTCTAGTTGCCACGTCACTAAAACGGCTATAACTTTGAAAATAATTTGAGTTTTGAAAAATCCTTTTAGGAAGATATTTTTGAATATCGAAACTATCGAATTATGGCAAATTTTTTTTTTCGATTTTCTCAAATTTCTAGACTAGAAGACCCCCTTAAGAAAACCTACATTTTATATAAGACTAAAAAAAATCAACATCTCATTAACCCTCGCCAGGTCATGCCCGTAGCGGCCAGCACCATCTCGTTCTTTATGCTCTCCCTGGACCGCTACGCCACCGTGAAACATCCGCGACTGGCGCAGCTTCGCCAGCGCCGCTACTTGCACGTCTCGTTGGCTCTGCTTTCTTGGTTAGCATCTGCGGCTATCAGCACCCCATTCCTGTTTGCCTACAAGATTATCGCGAGCTGTACCTCTGACCTGGGCGCCAGTGCCATGTTCAAGTCCTTCATCCTCTTCCACACAATTGCCGTGTTTGTGCTCCCAGGCGTGGGCGTGCTGCTCAACCACTACGGCGTACGTCGCAAGCTTTGCGCCCTCTCACTGACGGCGCGGGCTGCACATGGGGAGTTGCCCCTGCCGATCCCCATCCTGAGACGCCAGACCCACATGGTTATCGTGACGGGCTGTCCTAACGCCCAGCAGGAGGCCTGCGGGGGGCCCACCACGGCGGACGACACTTCGAACGGGAACGGAACAGGCACCGGCGGTGGTCCAATGGCCGTCAGTCCAGGGGACATCCAACTGCACACTCTACACCCACGGCAGCCAGGCTCTATTGGATCGGGCCTCGAACCGGGTTCCTACCGCTCCAGCAATCCCATATCGCCTAGGTAAGTAGTGAGTAGTCGTCCAAATTATACTGGTCGAAAAAATCCGTGTTTTTTTATCCAAGAATGAATGCTTATTAAAAGATTGAAATCTCAAATCCAGTTTTGAGAAAATCGTGGTCAATATATAAAATGAATACGTGCTGACATTTAGCTTAAATGATGAAATCATTTTTTACAATACGATTTAAGTCTTGTAAAAATCGTACGACTATATCTTAAACTTGTTTCAGATAAGTTTATCCGCCAGTTAAACTTTTATTTCTTCATTTTTAGCATTGTCGCAGTGGCGGATCCACGGGGGAACCGCAGAACCTGAAAATTTCACTTGTTTGCTAGAAAAATATTCTCTGCAATAAAGGATAAATTCATTTTCCCCCCCAAGAATCGTCTCTGGATCCGCCACTGATTGTCGACTTTTTTTATTAAACTGAATCTGGCTTTAAAATGAAATATAAATCTCTGTGCTTTTTACGCAAATATTTGCCTTAATCTTCCAAACAAAATAGTGGAAATTCAATTTCAATTTTAAATTTAAAACATTCTATCCGGACTGAAGTTTTGGATTAGATTTTTTAATTTATAAAAAAATGATTTCTGTGCAATTACTAGGGGGAAGAAATGTTGAATTTAAGACGCCTTTTAGTTCTACGATTAAAAAAATAAATATGTTTAGGGCCATGAGGGAGATTCGCGCCCACTCCCAGCGACAGCGCATCAACCGGGCGGGGAAGGGACCGGCAACACCTGGAATACCATTGCCTCAGACCTCTACACTTCGGTCACGCCGACACCTGGCTAACATGCTCATCGCGTCGGCAGTGATCTTTATAGCCTGCTGGGCACCTCACGTCTTTTGCATCTTCTACAAGAACTTTGGCAGCAAAGAGCACTGCAGCCAGACCTCCGTCTACTTCAGCCTCTTGCTAGGTAAGTCAAGTCAATTCAGTTGTGCAATAAGACCAGTCACTGACCAACGGACCATTTTTAGGCTACTTTTACTCTGCCATCAGTCCGGTGATATACTGGGCGCTCAACCACAATTCGCTTCGACAATCTCCATGCGCACCTATCATCCGCTTGCGCTCCATGCAGAATTTCCTGAGGTCGCGCTTCCGGACCCACACCGCCCCACCACCCCCGTCGTCAACCAACGAGGCGGCCCTGGGGGCCTTCAACCCCAAGCTGATCAAGCTAACACCGAAACAGTATAGAGCTCAGGCCTCTTCGCATTATCTCTACTAGTGTGATACTAAACTAAACTTGATATACATATATACACATTTATATACACGCATATATAATATATTTTTTACCTTCGCCCTCCCCAAGTCCCGGACTTACTTATAACAAACTTCGACCCCGAACCCCGGGACCTCAAACTTAAACCCAACCAAACTGAACTATCTAGATGTTTTTCAAAAGCTCTACACAACTAGTTGGCGTAACCTACTGCAGAATACAAAATATACACGCTACTTATAGAATACTTACTACCATACATAGCAGTGTTAGTTGACGCTTATTTACACGATGATGTGCGCCTGAAGCTATCCAAAAAAGGAGAAAAATCTATTAATGAAAGACAAGCAAAAAAATTAAAAACAAAATCCTTCTAGTGACTTGTTTGTTGTTTAGTCTTTTAAGCTGAAATATTGTACTATGTTCCTTCTCATAGATAAGCAATATGTGAACGCTTTGAGCCAAGTTAAACAAACGAAAAACAAATCAAACTAAAGAACGATCTAAAACTTTTAAACGATTTAAACTTAAACTCAAATGCATACCTAACAAAACATAAATAATTATATATACGAGTAAATACATACAAAAAATGAATGTGAATGTGAGCAAAAAAAAGGGATAAAAACTAGTATTGTATAGATATTCTTCGACTTAATTCTTTATACACTTTTTCTAAACATTTTTAATATCGTTCAGTAAACTGAACATGGTGTATAGTGCAATTCACGCTGCAGAAGCATAGAACCCGCGAAGATTTTCGCGTTTCAGATGTAAGAACAAGCCAAAAGATTAAACTCAGGATCGGGTTTCATTTTACTCATTTCAGTAGCCACCTTTTTCTAATTTTCTAGACTTTTATATATGCTCCGCTGCGAGCGACCATCTGTTAACAGCTTTTAAGTTATTAGTTTGAAGGGTATAGTACTATCTTAAAAACCATCTAAAGCAGCAGCATTTGTTATCGCCTTGGAATTAGTGGCTATAAACCTTAAGCTAATTTTAAATAATCATCGTTTTGTACTTTACAAAATCGTCATCGAAAGAAGAGAAACTATAAAAAATTCTATAAATATGTACCATAGTAAATAATTGTTTTATTCAATCTTTCAATCGCCTGGTGGTCTGGAATATCCCTTGAAGTTAATAAGTTGTGGATTTCTGGTTATACGAAAATATCTGAATTTATAATATCATTCCGAAATTCCAGAATATATTGGCCCGTAAACTAATCGAATTGAAAATTACCATTTTTCACTGTTTAATACCCTTGCAGATTTTTCAAAAATAAAAACCAATTTTCGCCTTCTCACAAGAAAGGGAGCGCCAATTACTATTTGGAAAGTTTCAAGAATCTATCTTGTAGGCCATGCATAATACCGGCATAAAACCGTACGGTTAGTATGTATCATATATTGAAACTATTGAAAACCAGTGATTTATAGTAAAATTGAAAAAAAAAAAGAAAACATTAAAATTAACATTTTGTCCCGATTGTTCCTATGCTATAGGATATAAACGTCCGATCTCCGCCGTTTTCAAACTTGATCTGCGTACACATACAAAAAATACGATTGCGAAATCTTCAGCTTTTAAACTGAGCTCGGAAGGGGCACATTAAAAGCTGAAAATTGAATTGAGTAACACAAAAATCAAATAATTAAATCGTTTAGAGAACTTTACACTTTATATGCATCAAGACGCGCTCTGGTTTATGAAATCAATAAAATTAGCTATAACTTTGTAACTTAATTGCTGGCGCGCTTTGCATGCAACTGCATTCGTTTCTCGATCTCGGGCCTGAAGTGACGGATAAGGCCCTGGACTGGCCATGCGGCACCATCACCAAGCGCACATATAGTATGACCCTCAATTTGTTTGGAAATCTCCCACAGCATATCGATTTCAGAGGGTTGCGCGTCACCCTTGACAAACCTATTGCGGAAAATCAAATTAACAGTTAATTTTTCTTTTATAACATGTATGTATAGGGGATTTACCGAGTCATAATCTTGTTCATCCAGCCGATTCCCTCTCGACAGGGCGTGCATTGTCCGCAGCTCTCATGCTTGTAGAAGGATATTAGCCTAGCGATTGCCTTTATCACATCCGTCGACTTGTCCATAACGATGATAGCCGCAGTACCCAGCGATGTCTGGGCAGCAATTAAACCATCAAAATCCATGATTACGTCGTCGCACACATTTTTAGGTATGATAGGTGTGGAAGAGCCGCCGGGAATAACGCCCAGCAGATTGTCCCATCCACCAGTTACTCCTCCGCAGTGACGATCAATTAACTCTTTAAGCGGGATTGACATTTCCTCCTCCACAGTGCAGGGCCTGTTCACATGGCCAGAAATGTTAAAGAGCTTGGTGCCCGAGTTACGTGTGCGACCAAAGCTGGCGAACCATGGACCGCCACGGCGACAAATGCTTGGAGCCACGGCTACAGTCTCCACGTTGGTAACCGTGGTTGGACAGCCAAAGACCCCAACGTCGGCGGGAAAGGGAGGCTTCAAGCGCGGCTTTCCTTGTTTTCCTTCCAGCGACTCGATCAAAGCGGTCTCCTCGCCGCAAATGTAAGCTCCAGCGCCTCGGTGCATAAAAACATCGAAGTCGTAGCCTGTTCCGCAGGCGTTTTTACCAATAAGACCAGCCTGATACGCCTCGGCAATAGCCAGTTGCATGTTGGAGGCCTCGTTATAGAATTCGCCACGAATGTAGATGTAGGCCGCCTGGGCGCCCATGGCCCGCCCAGCAATTAAACAGCCCTCAACCAGCTTGTGTGGGTCGTGGCGCATGATTTCACGATCCTTGCAGGTGCCAGGCTCTCCTACGGGTAAACATATAATCACCAGGTGCTTTCGGAACACATGCCTTTTTCCTCACCCTCATCAGCATTCACCACCAAGTACTTGGGGCGTCCATCGCCGGGCTTGTTCATGAAGGACCACTTCATGCCGCTGGGGAAGCCAGCACCTCCGCGGCCGCGCAGGCCAGACGTCTTAATTTCATTGACGATCCAGTCCGGACCCTTCAACACAATTTCCTTGGTCTTGTACCAATCGCCGCGCTTCAAGGCTCCTTTCAGCCTCCAATCGTGTCGACCATAAAGGTTGGTGAAGATGCGATCCTCGTCCGCCAGCGGACCAAACTTGGTCTTCGTTTGTGGCGGGGGAGTCCCTGGAGGCGGAGCTTGGGTGCTTTGGAACCGCAGCAGCTGCAGGCTGACTGGCAAAGCCGCCCCTGCAATGCATACATGGGACAAAATCAATAAATTGCGCAGAAAACTGGAACACTTTTGTTTAGTTATGCGCCAAAATTACATAATTTGATGGCAAGGGAATCGATTGTTTTCAAGGCTTGGATAACTTGTGGCAACAGCCATATCCATGCGAAACAAGCTGTTAAGCAACTTATTAATGGTTTTGGGAAAATCTTCGGTGTTTATTTACCAATATGCGGCTTTGTTAACAAATTAAATCGCACAATTGCAGCCATTTTCGGAACGACTGACTGACAGCTGAAATGTGACATTTGTTCGCGACGTTGCCAGATCGACAACATATTCTTTGGGTTAGATTTAGCATGGGCCTTCTTGCAACGAATCAGCTGTTACTATTGTTCATGGTAGGTGCATTTACATTACATTGCACCATGCTGTTGTAGTTTGACTAAAACGCAGTTTTATGAACAAAGAATGATATCAAGACTCTCGCAACGGGTTAAATTATAACTTTTTTAATTTTAAATAAGCTATAAAATAATAAAAATATTATATAAGGGTCAAATTAGAGTTATTTTCACTTTGTTTTTATCAGTGCCAACGTCTTTGCTCTATTTTATTTTTCATTTAAAATTAAGTGTGCTTTATACGAAATTAAGTAATCACCAGGTTGAAATATGCACACTTTTTACGCCATTCATTGGGTTTTGTTAAGTAATTGAATTAGATTAGGGATAGCTTTCTATTTAGTCCTCTATTTTTTAACAAGATACAAATTAAAGTGTTTTTTTCAAGATCATATTTTGTTCCTTGTTTTAACTCATAATAGCTAAATTACGTATTGCACTACTAAAATGTTCTTCAGAACCATGTTAAATGTTCTGAAAACATTTATAAAATGTGCATTAATAAAAACAATTTATTTTTTTTAATTTGTCTTATTTTCTTTGCTTTGGTAAATAATAAAATCGTTTTTCCCAAAACGCAATAAGGTAGCCCTAGTCTAATGTAAGCTGGGCTACAATTTTAAATCTGTCAGACCTATAATACGTTCACACTATAATTTCTGTTATTTTTTCGTTGAAAATGGCCCAAAAGCAGAATAATGAGACTGGCAATGGGACGACAACTCAAATAGTTGACGAAGTAGATGTTGGTGCTCCTTCGGACGCTACCCGGACGACACCCACGCTGCAACTGCGCCTGGAACATCCGCGGGACGAGCGTCGTGTAGTGTTTCATGCTGGGGTCATAGACAACGAGCATTTGAATCGGAAGAAGTCCAAATGTAAGCCTTCCCATACACTTTCAAAGACAATGACTGACTTACATTTATTCCAGGCTGCTGCATTTACAAAAAACCCTTAGCGTTTGACGAGAGTTCCTCTGAAGATGACGAGGACTGCGAGCATTGTTTTGGACACCCCGAGAAGCGAAAAAGGAACGCCAAACATAGTCACGATCAGGGAGAAAACTCATGCCAGGACGCCAGTCATCCGGACGGACCATCGACATCTACTCAAGCTGCGGACTCCAGCCTCCCGCCAGCCGAACCTGTTGAATCACCGGCCAATCGGAAACCCCCAACCGAAAGGGTTGACTTTGAACAAGCGGATAGTTCGTAGCGCGTACTCCAATTTAAATATGTATAATTATAAACGTTAACAGCACGGAACCAACTAGCAGCAAGCACTTAGATTTACAAACAAAGACGATATTTTCGGGCAGTAAGAACCACTTGGGAATTTTGAGCCGGATGCGAGATTCACTTCTTCGGCTTCAGCTCAAAAGATTCGCTCACATTATGGGGAATTTTAAACTCCTTTGCCTTTGCCCGTGAACGCCAGACCTGTGGGAATACTTATGTTTAGCAGTGCAACATTGGAGTCTTTTTTGTCAATACCTTGATCGTGTAATCGTCGCTGGTGGTTACTAGCATCTCCGAATCGTGGGGATTAAAAGCCACACTGTTAACCACGTCTGAGTGTTTAAACTTGGCTAGGCTGATGCCATAGTATCGGTCCCAAAGGTAAGCGTGCTGATCTTCCGCCCCACTGGCGACGTACTCCTCGCAGACGTCCAGGAAGATAAAGAAACACTCCGTGCTAGGCGTGTAGGCCTTGTGAGCCCGCAGCATGTTGCCCACACGTTTGAGGGTCATGAGGTCGATTACGTGGATGTCGATCTCTTGGGCGATGGGTGGCGGCTCTAGAGGATTGGTGATCACGTAGTTTTTCGGCCAGGGACGCGTATTGACGTACAAGTAGCGGTGGTCAGGGCTAAGGGCCATGCCAATGATGTGACCGTGCAGATCTATCACCTTGTCCACCTTATCGAACCTATCCTTGACTGACTCATAGTCCCACCAATCGGGATCGGTGCGCGGAGTCTGCTGCTGTTGTTGCTCTGCGGCCCGTTTCGCAGCTATTCTTTCCTTCAGAGTTGGGCCAGGATCCAGCTTTTTCGGAAAGTATACGTTTCGTATGCGCTTGAAACCGATTTGGTGGGGTGTAAACGTCTTGGAACCCGTTGAAAAAATTAGATATTTTGGCATGCTGTTTTCCATTTCGTCGTATTCCTCTTGTATATCCATGGCGTTCAATTCCTCCTCGTCGTCTTCACTCGGTTCGTTAGCGGAGGCCACTGCTTTCCTGTATTCCTCCAAATAGTGAATGGTGGCATCTCCGGGTCGTGTTCTGGAACGCCGCTCGCTGATGTCCGGCAAGAAGTTTTCTTCGGGAGTGGCGCTCCTTGTGCGTCGAAGGCTGGCCGCATGGGACAGAGGATTGCCACTGGCCTGCGAGTTAGAGCCCTGTTCGCTATTGTGTGGGGAGAGCGTAGCACTTTCACTCTCCTGTTCGGCAAGCCTGACGAGCGGATCGTTGTTCTCGTCCAGCCACGGGCACCTGGCCACCATTATGGCTCGTACCGAACTGGCGTTGCGGTTGTAGAACTTGTATAGCTGGCTCATGATCGGTACATGCTCGGAGTCGATCTCCTGGTTGGCCTTGTTCAGCCACAGGACAGAAGTGCTCACTAGATGAGCCAGCCAGTGCAAGTCGCCTGAGATCAGATACTGGTCACTGAACCAAGTGCCAAAGATATCATAAGGGCGGTTGACCACCCGGCAGCGCAAGTGTGACTCGGTTGCCCCCAGATAAAATACCGCAATCTCCCCGGAAGTGGACTGTGGTGATCCAAAGTGGACACCGGAGACGAGGAGCAAGGTATCGCTCTGATTGAACTGCGAGTACTGGGAGTACTTCCAGCTGAACTGCTTCATGTTGTGAGCATACTTCTCCGAACACGGGTGCTTGGCGTTCCATATCTGCAAGAAGGAGGGATTAAGTGTGCCTCTATTGGGAGTTGGATGTGGACTCACTATTACATAGCCGTCTTTGGAGCAGGTGGCAAACATTTCGCCGTTGTGGGCGAAACTCACATGCAGCACCTGATGTGTGTGGCCATGGTTGTTCTCCACAGTAGGCTCTAGTCGCTGCGCTTGGACGAAGGGTATGTGCATGGACAGGCGCTTGTACTCCGATCGCCAGCTCTCGGCTCCCGGCTTAAGCGGAATGCTCGGAGAGGCCCTAAAGTGCTCCTGAAACTTGTGGCGCCACAGTAGGTCGTCCTTGGCAATGCTGTGCCACCTCCGACAGCAGCGACTGACCTTCAGCAGATCTATCACACTCAGCTGCTCGAAGATCATAAGTAACGCTGGCTCTGGCAGGGCCCACCACCCGAAGGAGTCGGGTCCGATGGAGCCATCGTCGCTTTCCTCGTCCTCCACTTTCGCTGCATTTCTGTCTTTCACCAGTCGGGCCTTTTTGAAGGTCACTTCCATTGGGTTGCCGAATGCCGTGGCAAATTGTTCCTAAGCTTTTATTACGATGTAAGTGCGCTGTGTAAAGCTGGTTCAGATCGCTCTGTTTCTGCGGCTTCGAAATCAAAGATAACTTTCTCCCTTATTGTTATTGTTATCGTTTTGTTATAACAGCTGTTGCAAGAACATCGAACGACCACTCTCACTTCATTTAGTATCGATATAAACTAAATTATATCGAAAAACAAGATATCACGCAAATTCACAGGTTCTCAATCGTTTAATATTTCAGTATTGTTTACAAATATTAAAATAGAAAAAAAGTACGTTTTTTTTTTCTGTAACAGGTTTTTGCAATTACACTTTTATTAATTCCAAATTATTATTTTCTGAATATTATGAGTTTTCAATATACCCCTGTCTCAAATACGTACTGGATATGAGTGCTATACAGACAGATGTAAACAATATCAGGTAACACCAGAGAATTAGGCCTTCAAATCGTTACACTTACAAAATCTAAATGCCGGGATGTCTTCGCTTGCTAAAGCCCAGGTAGTGAGCTTTTCTTATATACGTAGGTAAATACATATGTACATTTGAGATGTTCGAATCGCCAACCGATTTCCGAACTCCACAGCGTATGGCAGCTTCTGCGCCACTATAGCCCGCTGGCTCAGAGTCATTTGGGCGGATCTTATAGCAATGCGGTGGTGATTGCGGCTGCTGTAAGAACACCTAGTGTGCCATTCCGGGCAGAGGAGCAGCAGCTGGCGAGCATGGTGGTGGACGAACTGGTGAAACGCACAAGTGTGCCACGCGGGGAATACAAAAAACTGATCGTCTGCTCCTCGCTCAAGACTCCGGCTCCAGAATGCAAGGAGCGGCTGACCAGAGTGGCAAAGGACCTGGGCCTCACGTGCGAAACCCTCGCCATACAGGACGACGTCTGCTCAATCGGTGCGCTGCAAATGACCCTGGACTGCCTTCAGCGCGTGGGAGACCAGTGCATAATCACGGGAGACTTGCGCTGCCAGGTCATGCAGCCGACGCACGGCGTGCTGGCCAACGAACTGATGGCTGTGCAGCAGCCACGGACTCGCAACCGGGTTGGACCAGAATTGACCACTGCCCCTGAGCCGCCGCCTACGATGGGCGCAGCAGCCCTCTCCTGGACCACTCTGCAGACGGCCCAACGTCTGAACTTACAACCGCTCGCCTTGCTGCGCGAGTTTGCCGTGGAACAGGACCACGAGCAGACAATGTACCGTCTGAACGGAAGGCAACCCATTACTCCCAGCGAGATCTACACTTGGAACATGGTCACGGGCACGCAGAAGGCAATACCAGAAAGCATACTTGGTGATCTCCAGGCTAACCGGCTGTGCACGCACGACTTCAAGCAAATCACAGCCAGCCACCTTCTCACACACCTGGTTCACTCCCTCCCCACTGGCGGACTGGGATGCGCCTTTATGGGCATGCCGGAAGGCCGCTCCATGATCATGGTTCTCGAAAAGCTGTGCGTATCGATCGTGTTTGTGCCGGCTTTTACTGACCAGATTTAATATTTCAGGGTGCCCAGCATTGATCAGGAGCAGGGGTTGCCTCTGATCACTCTGTATACCAGGGAGCCGTGTCCCTTGTGCGATGAGCTGGTGCACAGTCTAGAGGAGCGTTTTGCTGGCCGATACCGCCTGGAGAAGGTTTACATCGACCGCAAGGAAAACGTTCGTTTCCTGCGTCTCTTTAGGCATGACATTCCTGTTCTCTTCTTTAACGGACAGTTCCTGTGCATGCACCGGTTGAATGAAGAAGCGCTAATTGAGCGACTGGAAGCACTTAACCGATCGTAGTGCGAATGCTGAACATATTATTTATGTACACTTCGTATGTACATACTGTTGCCTTGATAAAGTAGTTTATTTTTGTAAAGGCCTCGTAAACTCGGTTTTGTTCCTCTATCCTTTGCAGGCCAGATGAGAGTGGGGTACTGCCTGGTCATTTTCCCGGGGCCCGCATTGGTCAGGGGCCCGGCAGCAGGAAATTTTGATCGAAAATTTTGGTGTTAAGAAAAATTGAGAAAGATAAATTTAAATCAAAAAGTCCACTTTTGTTCTGTAACTAAACTCATTTAGCTTCTGATGTATATCACTTCTGTATAGTTCAAATAAGAATCAAAAAAGGGACCGTGGCCCGGGGCCCGGTGTGGCTCTCGACGGCCCTGATCCTTTGTAGAATTATACACTGATCTTTGAGCTCTTAACATATTCAACCAAATCCCTGGAACCCGAGAATTACCTGAGAATAAATATAACATTGAAATGATTTTCGTGGTAACCAAAACCAGGACTTAGATAAATTATTTTTAGTATTTTTAAAATTACGCGTTTTTAAAAAATCGGAACATCGTTCTAGCTTCATTAAAAAAAATTTTAAATTTTGGAATATTGTATCCCATTGTTGACTAGTGTTTACTTGACAGAAATAAGTTTAGTACAGTTTGAATTTTAAAAGATTTCGCCCATGGGCTTGATTGTAATTTCGTGAACCTGAGGATAGGAAAGAAAAACTGGTAATATGTTAATGTCATTAATGGGAAAAGAGATCTGCTCACCTGCACATGAGGTGGGGTTCGAAGAGCGTACATCACAGCGTCCGCAATGTTCGCTGGCTCCAGCCTGGCCATGTCCTTCACGTAGAAATGGATCTCCTCCGGGAAGATTTTTGTGTTCACCGCCCCGGGACATATGCCAGTCACCCGAATTCGGTTACTGTGGAGTTGGAACTCCTGGCGGTAGGTCTCCGTGATTGCCGTGATGGCGAACTTGGTGGCCGGATAGATATTAAACGAGGGTAGCACGTCGATGAAGTTGAGCACTTGGTGTCCGGCGATGCTGTTAATGATGAGCACATGGCCCTCGCCGCCCCGCCGCTTCATGCTATTAAAGGCTTCGCGCGTGCACCAAATCACACCCATCACGTTGGTGTCAAGAACCTCCCTAAGTTTCTGGGTGTTGCCCCGAGTGACCAGTTCGGTCTCTCGCGTAATGCCGGCATTGTTCAGGAGCACGTCGACGCCCTCTAGCTCGCGTTCGATCCACTCGAAGCAGCTGAGAACCTGCTCCTCCTTGGAGACATCGCATTGCCGTGGAATGAAGTTGGCTTGCAGATGCGAGGGCAGACTCTCCCTAAGCTCCTTCATCTTGGCCTCGCGACGTGCCAGGCCCACTACCCGCAGTCCGGCTCCGATCATTGCCCGAGCACAAGCTGCTCCTATTCCACCGCTGGCACCGGTAACCACAGCCAGTTTGTTCTGCCAGCGCTCCATTCCGACTTGTGAATGAAAAGCTGACACGGCATGGCTCGGCACCGAGAGCCTCAGGAGCAGTTGCATGGCTTCGTGCTTCGAAATTAAGGTGCTTCGCTAATGGTCAACTGCTATAGCTGGTAAGTTCGCGCGGAATAGCGAGCAGCGGCTTAACCTAGAACACGGAGGGACAGAGTCTCCACAGGAATCCCAAAACAAAGTTTTGTCAAATTTTTTTGAACACACTGAACTCAATCAAAACATATTAGAAAAAACCTTTTTAACATATTTTCAGAAAAAACAAATTATACTCAAATTACGCCGTATTTTAAATTATTATTTTTTAATTCCTCCTTAATAAAATACAAACTGTATACTTTTTTAAAAGGAATTTTTATTTTAAAAATGTAAACATTAAAGAGTTTGATCACAATTTTTTGCTTAAAAAAATGTTTATTATTATTGTTCATTATTTCAATTAAACCTATTTTTGTGGTTAGCTAATTAAGAAAATAAGACTTTCTGAAATGGAATATCCGAATTCTCAGAATGAACATGTTCTGCTTTTGATCAAAACGATTGTTTAAATTAGTCATTCTAACTAGAAAAGGCTTTTTGCTAAGTTTTGTCCAAATAGCTTAAAAACTAAGGGAATAGTTTGCGTAGAAACGAACTATATTAATTGTTTTTTTTTAAGTATGCTGAAAATTTTCTTATAAATTTTAAAATAATGGTTCGATTTGGAAAGTTTCTGGTGAGTCATATATTTAATAAACATAAGCCGTACAATAACATAACTAGATTCTACCATGTCTCAGGGTGACATGACAAAGTTTCGCGGGTTCTGGGTGTTAAAGTAGGTATAATAGGAGTGAAATTTTGAAAAAATATAATAAATATAAATTAGGGCATTCTTGACAAAAGTCCCCTTCAGTAATACCACCCAAATTTTATTCTCTGTATAAAAATAAAATCCAGGCTTGATTCCAAGCCTTTTTGCTCGGCAAAAAGTCAAATAAATTTACGATTTTTAGGGAAAGAATCATCGAAACCTTTGCATGGACGCTGATTGGTCCTCTGATAGGCGTCATCCAACATGTATTAAATTGAGTTCTAATTCATTTTTCCGTTCTCGAAATAAATGGAGTTAATCCTCGAAGTTAGGGGCTAAGAATTTAGTTAGCTTTTAATGCAGAAACGCTAGATGAATAACGGATTCAAGAGGTGATACACACTTAACATTACTCATTCCCAATTTTCGCTTAACTGCACAAGTTAAAAACTAGGAAAACTTTTACTATTGTTCAGCCTACATTGACTCCTCCTAAAAACTACAATTTTGATTCTTTATCTTCGTTCTGGTGAATAAGGGCTTGGGTCATTCCGATTCTTCTGCGAATAGAAAATTTGGTCCGTTAAATCAAATTGTTTGTGGGAGATCAATTGCCTTGTATCTGCACAATACAATGTCAGAAATGTCCTTGCTCGCGGAATACAATACACAATATGTGTACATATCTAAAAATGGAGCCCAAAGTTCTTACAAAATATCATTTAAGGCTTGACCATTTGAAAGAACATATGGAAAATATTTAAGGCAACGGCAGGGCTTTGCTTGCAGAAAATCTGGCTCTCTTTCCTCTGTAGTGGCATTGAAAAGTTATGAAAAATGTGTATTATTGTGATCAGCTCCTTTTGTGTGTAAATGGTTCGCAACAAATTTTTCACCACAATTTTTTAAGCGGCTGTTTGAGCACCGAAGAATTTAAATTTAACGGTTGCAGCATTAGTTTTTTTTTGTTATCGATTGTGCAGAGCATACTATCGATACCTGTCGACCCACCGGGTGTGGACACACAAAAAATAAGAAAACTAAGAGCTGCCTGCAGGTGTTGCAATTTGTATCAAATTCTCAGCGAAAACCGCAGATTAAGTTTAATTTATCAGTGAAGGAACGGTTATTAGGCGAAATGGCTCAAATGGACATAGAGTTGAAAAAGGTAAGCGGTGAACACATCGCAAAAAGCTGCTGCCGACGGGAAGCGCGTGCTTCGCAGAAGAATATTTCCATTGACCGCTGCCTCTATCCCGCAGGCCTTTACTGAGATGCAGATTAACAAACTGGAGACGACCAAGAAGATCAACATGATCGACATGAAGTGCGACATGGTTAAGACGGGCAAACACAAGTACCAGCTGACGGAGAAGGGCACGAGTAGCCTCTCTGACGACACAAGGTGGTTCGAATCGCTATTAATCATCTCCCAATGGCTCATTATAATAATCTATTCTCCTCTAGAGTTTACCAGTCAGTGGGTCGCATGTTTCTGCTGACTGATGTGCAGAATATGCGCGAGGACCTAAAGGCCAAACAGGAAAAGTGCGACAAGGCGATAGAGCTCCTTGAGAAAAAGAAGGAGTTCCTGCAGAAGTCGCTCAAGGATCAGGAGGACGGTCTGCGCGAGCTGGTGCAGCAGCGCAAGGAGGCCGACCTGACTGCAAAATAGACTCCACCCAGGCATTCATCCCTCAACGGAATTGCTTATTTATTTTCAATATATTTATCTAAATTGAAGTTAGCGTAGCTGACAAACTCGTTGCCCAGATTGCGTTCATGTTCCGGCTGGAACTTGCACTTAAGCACGGGCAGGCGCGCTGTTAGCCAGGGTTCAACCACTTTCCCAGAACACAGGATCAGCTTGCACTGCGTGGGGTCGTTCTGCAGCCTGGTGATTATTTCACATGTATTGGCGATGCACTCCTGGGATAGGAAGGGCGGATCAGCCACGATGAGGTCATACTGGTGGTGGTGTGCTTTAAGGTAGTCTGGATTGCTGCCTATGCAGTTTAGGTCGTAGTGCACAAAGTCCGTGCCGTACGCTCCAAATCGCTGATCGTACTCGAAGATGTGGACTAGAAGAGAAGACGATGATCATAGGCAATCGGAATTTAGTCAGACTGCTTACCCTTGTCATGGATATTTTTAATGTCCTTGTAAAGCGATGGGCAGGAGAGGAGTGCTATGTGAAAGTCCCCCGAATCCGCTTTTCGCTCCGCCAGCAGCTTGCCCACAACATCCCGTAAAGTAAGTTTAGTTTTCGTATTGTACCAAAACTGACTGAGTTGCTGCAAAACGGGAGAAGTAAGCGCCAATGTTCCATGTATTCATAGATGTTCTTGCCCAATCTTCCTCGAAATGACCATCCTTGCCGGTTTTATTGGAAATTTGATTTTCCTCCTCAGCTTCGCGCTTGGAACGCTCCAACAGGAATTCGTTAAGGATAGCCAACGTGTCGGCGGGCAGCGAAACGTCATCGTCCATCATGATCTATAAAACGGAAAGGCAAACTAAATGTGCGTTTGGAAGAACTAGAGCAAACGAGCACATCAACACTGACCAACAAGCCTGCGTACATATGCATGTGTCAAAACATTCGCGATACCAACAGCAGTATAGTAGGGGGATTCCTATCAGTTGTTCTGGGCGGCGTGAACGTCCCCAAAATAAATTTACAGCCAGCTTATTTGTTTCGAAAGCAAATTTTTGTTAAGTTATGGTGATCCTTAAGCTAATATTTTATTGCTCTGGTGCCATTTGATCCTTATTGACGCCAAGAAGTAAAACAGATCCATTCCGTTCTTATGTATCCGATTTGTGTTTAATCAGAAAATTATCTACTTAAATATGAAATTCTTAATAAACTAGTATCCTCCACTGTTATACACTTACATATGCTTATGTTTTTAAAATAGTCTCTTAAAAAGATTACGAAATTTGTAAAGTTATAAACTATTTTGCAAGCCCTGTCAAACCTTTAATATACAATCATGGAAAAAATAATGTAAACGACATTTTTTTTTTCGTATTTTTCAAACTTTTCTTCAGCCAATTTTGTTTTTTTTAAGTTTAATAATTTGGATTGATAGTCGATACAATTATGTGTCAAAATATAACAAAACAATAATTTTCAAAAAACGTAATGAACTCAAAAATAATTTTTTAAATTACTAGGCCTGGAAAAAGTAATAGAAACGACTGAGTTAATTCTATGGAAAACAGTTTTGTAGCTTCAAAGCCTATTAGTTTAGATGGTAACTTTAATATATAGTTGTGCTACCGAAATTTTTAATGACTTCACCGGTGTCCCATTGAATCCACCAAATTGGAACAAATTGCTGGTTCAATGGAGTAGCACTCGGAATTCACTTTCTTCCACAACATGATTTTCGCACCACCGTGTTTAACGGCTTTAATAGAGTACTTTGGGTCGTGGGCGGTATTCTTTTCCATGACTCAAAAATTATTATTGTCGCTTTGAGAGATCAAAGCTAAGTTCTAAGCTTCGTGTTAAAAAAGGATGATTGTGATCCGCACACTTTATAATAAAGTTTGGATTTTACTTTTTTCATATGTTACAACTCTTTTTTATAAATGTAAAAGGGATATTCAGGTTGCATAAGTGGTGAGGTTGGGAATCAACAGTATCTGTTATAGATTTTTTAAGTGCTAAACACTGCCTCGAGTTTTACAAATAACCATAAAATTATGGTTATCTAAACATTAAAAATAAAGCTTACATCTAATTTTATAAGTAAATAGCTGCTTGACGGAACCCACTTTTCTTACTACTACGTAAGTTTAAGAAACAAATCCCAAATGGATGTGCTTTGTGGGATTTAACATTTTTGAGGTATTTCTCTCATTTTTGGCGGAACATTGCAAATCTTTTTATTTATCTGTTGAAATAAATCAACAAATGTTATTGCTGATGAAACTGTTAAGTACGTGGACTTTTCAATTCGAAAGATCGAGAAAAACAGAGCACTGGAAATAGATGGCTACCCTGTGCATTGGCTAGTTCATTTCAATCGAACTGGCTCACGGCCATATTTAGTTCGCACGAGAGCACCGACCAATACGTATTTACGTGAAAAACTTGTATTTAATTTGGAACCATATCACAGGAGAGTTAAACGAAGCAGAGTTGAGAGGTATGTGTGATGTGCCGTACAAATTAAGCAAAAATTACACTCCATAAGGACTTTCGTGCTAAACAGTTTTTGCGGCGGAAGTCCGGTGATCCAAAGGCAAAAAGAAACCTGACTCAACTTTCTTCGGCCGACATCGTCCCAAATCGGATAATAATGTGTTAGATTTGTCTGCCGAATCCGACTGGCACTACAATAGGAAATTATGCAGGTCTCCGTTTAGCTTTACGCGGCTGCTTCCGGCGGAGGAAGCATCCGATTTCGGCGAGTAACCAATTTCCACAGCCCAGCGGCAAGGGGCCCTGCACTTTAAGCACCGTGTCACTGCGATTTTGGTTCATTGTGGAGTTCAGTCAGGTTAATCAGCCTTAATTTGCGAGCGGCACCTTTTGGATCTCTGACGTGTACCTAAGTCTGCCCAATCTGCATACCTATATTGTGACTTCATTTGTCCACATAATTTTCATTAGATTGAGTTTTGGATTGGGGTCTGTTAGCTGACCTACATATGTATGTAGTTCCATCAAAGGACCTTCCGTTTACTTGTTCAAATCAATATTGCTGTCCCATTACTCACTTAATAATTCAAAAGTACACGTAGGATGCAGGCCAAACTCCCCATCCCACCTGCTGCCACCAGTTTGTGTATTATTATTTTGAAGTGTGTTCCGCATTTCGTAACAACACCGCACAATAGTTTGTAGTTCGTCGATCTCTGTAACGCAAGCTGGTGCCTAGCAGTTTATTTTCGAGTTCGTATCAAATCTTTGTTTTACTGAGCTAGGCATCATAAACCGCTGCCGGAAATATAATATTGCCGAACTGAACGCCGAAAGCTGCAGGTACATGGTTGTTTAAAAGCGGTCGCTTTTCCCTTTTTTGTTTTCTTTTGGCTATGCAAAGCACTGTCTGTAATTGTGGTCAAATCATCATGGCATTAAAACGCCCTTCTGGCACGGCCGTTCTCGTTTTAAGTGTGTTCGTTTCCAACTTTCCATTTGACTGGTTTAACAGTTGGTCTTAACTTTCAATTAAGACCTAAAGCGCGTGCCACTCGGCCCCTAAAAGGCAAAGCCACCGCAGTCTAATGCTGTAGTCGGAGCGTGGATCACCAGCGTTGCTCTTTAAGTTGAAACACTTTTACACATTAGATAAGGTCGCGGTTATTTGGCCAGAGTTGCCTTATCGTTGTCAGTGCCCCGAGATAGCACACAAATTCCCGCCGATAAGGCCGAAGGTAACCTCATAACGTTTTCTCTACATTTTTGCCTTTTCATAACTACCTTGCAGACTAAAAAACAGAACGGTAAGCGAGTAGAGAAGCCATTTCATCATGAGCACACCCACCGATCAGCCTCCGCGCTCCGAAGGCGCCGAGACCAACAGCTCCGAAGGATCCTCACAGCAGCAATCTCAACCACAGAATGTGCCGGCCAAACTCGTACATCATTTCCAGACAAATCGAATCGATTCCGCACTCTGGGCTCTGCGCCTGTTAGTCGTCTTTTTTACAGTCAGCTACGTGCTGCCAATCTTCACGTAAGTAGAGCCGTTTTGCGCACCTTTGTTAACTATTCTAACTGACACTCATTTCACAACAGTTCACAACAGAGCGCATTCAGCAAGGTCCTGCTGGCCAATGCGGCCATCTCTGCCTTGCGTTTGCATCAGAGGGTGCCCGCATTCTCCTTCAGCCGGGAATTTCTAGCCCGACTGTTCGCCGAGGACTCGTGTCACTATATGATGTACTCTTTGATCTTCTTTAACATCCGCCCATCACTGCTAGTTCTTATCCCAGTGCTGCTGTACTCGGTTCTGCATGCTTCCAGCTACTCGCTTAAGCTCCTGGATGTAAGGATATCCGTTATCGAAACAAGCACTTAACTAAAAACCATGTACTTACAGCTGATTGGCCAGAACTCGTGGTGGGGTGCCCGTTTTATCATCTCCATTGTGGAGTTTCAGGCAGCCAATATCCTGAAGGCCACTGCGTTCTGCGAGATCTTCATTATGCCCTATGCCATTGTGCTGACCTTCATGTGAGTTTTTCATATTTGTTTTGGTAAAGATGTTCTTTAATGCTGATTTTCTTGTCATTTTAGGAGCCACGCAGGTCTTATGACGCCTATAATCTACTATCACTATCTAGTGATGCGCTACAGCTCACGTCGTAATCCGTATCCGCGCACCGCTTTCGCCGAGCTCCGCATAACCTTCGAGGCGCTGGCCGCCCGCTCGCCGCCTGCCGTTGGCAAGATCATCCGCGGAGGCATTGGGTTTATTAATCGCCTGGCGCCGCAGCCACAGCCGGCCCCGCCGCAGCAGTAAAAAACTGTTAGCCGAATGTAACAATCAAAAGACATCTGAATAAGCCTATTTAAATACCAATCCGTTTACATAGATGTTCACACAGGAGATTGGGGTTCATCCGTTTTATTTATTAGTCAAAATTCGTTGCACCATTTTAAATCGAGGATTGTTTCGGCATTTAAGTTTAAATTTATCTATGTATTATTGTAATTTTTGAGAACATTTTTCTTTTTTCGATCATATATATATAGCCGCGCACGAAGTGCACCATTCGGAATCAACATTCAAGGCGCGTATTTTTACCATTATATCCCAAACAAACTAGTTTAATTTGTTTTGCACTAACTTATATGTTGACAAATCTAATCAAATTCAAAACCTGGACAACAGATGATGTTAATAATTACTTACATATATTTTTTATGAATGTGAAAAGTTACTAAAAATACAAAGAAGTAAAGTAAAATTAAATGATTAAAAAGGTAATTGAATTTATTTTGGGGTGTTTGTCAAATTATTGTTTTTTATTTTGCTATGAAAATTTGGAGGTTTTTAACAATTAGAAATAAAATTTGTTTTTTATACTATTGAAATTGTACAACGGTATAAATACTTTCCGAATTGTCTAATTTTTTTTTGACTTTTTTTTAGTAGAAGTGAAGAGTTGTATGTTTGATTTACACAAGTTTTAAGTTTCTTCAGGTGTTGTCTGCAATTATTTTATAAATTTCATTTTTCGAGAAATAACAGTTTTAAATGTTCTTAATTTAGATATTTATAATTTAGAAAATTTGCTAAGTTAATTGTCTAAATTATAGATATCTGTCATAAAATTAATAAAGCTTGTGATTCGCAGAGTAAAAGAAAACATAACATTAATAAAGCTTGTGATTCGCAGAGTAAAAGAAAACATAACATTCGTCGGCAAGAATGTAACAGCCAGCGTTTCAGACCCTATAAAGTATATAAATATTCCTAATCAGGATCAATGGCCGAATCAATCTTGCCATGCTTTTAAATCTCCGTCCGTATAAAGGTCGAGACCTCGGAGACTAGATAATTTAAATGAAATTGTATATATTATTGATTCTTACGCAGCGAATCAAAAGTTGGGAACGCTTATTATTGTGCTCACGAATCGTAAATTCCGTAGTCAGATGAAAAATAAATATTTTTTAATATATTTTTTTGACTAATGTCTATCAGAACACACAAAACAATTTACTTTCAAAATTCACTCTGTTAGAGAATTTCTAAAAAAAATCAATTTCTATCTGGTAAATCTATCGCTATGGCAAACAAAAAAGATTCCGAGCTATCTGGCGGTAAGGTATATTTATCTGCTATTGCCAAGTAAGTTGAATTTAATTTCGATTTGGGATTTGTGTACCAATGATAATGACCGAATAAGCCACTAAAAGTGTGGTTTTGGCATAAAGCCCCAATACCTGGTCTCAAGTTTGGGAGTGGCAACATTTTGAAACAAACTTGCGCTGGGTAAGAAAATCTATAATTTTCATGGTAAATCCCACATCTCTACCTCTTGTAGTTTTCGAGATTTCGAGGTTCATACGAACGGACAGACGGACAGACAGACGGACATGGCTTTACTCCACAAGTAAAGGGGATAAATATGACATCCTCCAGTTGAACAGCATTATAGCATTTGTTTTCTTTTAAGATTTTTTGTTGACAAATTAAGTCTAAAAATAGGCTACATAATATTTGAAAACAATAATATTTTAAATTTATTAAAATATTTTCGCTCTCTTAGATTTCATTTTTGCTTGGAAACTGTTTTTTTCAGAAGTTGAGTTGATATAAGCATGTCCGTCTGTTCGTCTGTCTGTCCGTCTGTTTCTACGCGAACTAGTCTCTCAGTTTTAAAGATATCGAATTGAAACTTTGCACACATCCTTCTTTCCTTTGCACGCAGTATAAAGGTCGGATCGGGAGGAATCGGCCGACTATATCCTATAGCTGCCTTATAATTGAACGATCGGAAATGCCATAACTTTGACGGTTTTTAAGTTAGGAAGTTGGGATTTTCTATGGGTTTTATATTTGGCAAATCGATTCCACCTAGCATAATTTCATAAGGATCGGCCGACTATATCCTATAGCTGCCATATAACTGAACGATTGGAAATGCCATAACTTTGGTGTTACTAAAGTTAGGAAGTTGGGATTTTTTTATTAGTATTAAGAATGCATCATATGAATATTTATAACTTTGCAGTGGGTATTATAATTTTGGTCAGAAGTTTGTAACGCAGTCAAGGAGACGTTTGCGACCCCTTAAAGTATATATATTCTTGATCAGGATCAATAGAGGATTCGATATAGCCATGTCCGTCTGTCCGTCCATCCGTCTGTTTCAATACCGTTTTGCGAGCTCAGTTTAAAAGTTAGCGATCTGAAACTTTCACAGTCGTCCTAAAACAAGTGTACGCAGATCAAGTTTGAAAACCGCCCCGATGTCTATATCCTATAGCTCCCATAGAAACAATCGGATATAACTTGCAAGAATGGAAGATATTTCGCGTAGTGTAAAAGCTATTGACATAAATCTTTCCAAATCTTATTGTTTTATGCGTACCTTGATCAGGGTAAAAGCGCGTGGCGATCGGACGTCTATATCCTATAGCTCCCATAGGAACAATAGGGTAAAATCGGTTTAAATTTAATGATTTTTAGGATATTTCGCGCAGTATATAAACAATTGTCATGCATCTTTCCAAATCGTATTTTCTTATGCATACCTTAATCAGGGTTAAAGCGCGTGAACATCGGACGTCTATATCCTATAGCTCCCATAGGAACAATAGGGTAAAATCGGTTAAAATTTAATGATTTTTATACCCGTTACTCGTAGAGTAACTAGCCGAGTCGATATAGCCATGTCCGTCTGTCCGTCTGTCTGTCCGTCCGTATGGACGCTGAGATCTCGGAAACTATAAAAGCTAGAAGATTGGCATTTTGCATGCAGATTCTAGGAGTTCCTACGCAAGTTTGTTTCAAAAAGGTGCCACGCCCCCTTTAACGCCCACAATCGCTTATATACGATTTTAAAAATTTAAATATTTCGGAAAAGTAAAAATGCAGTTTTATTGTGTTAAAAATACCTATCGAAATGTAGAAGAAATTTTTCAAATCGGACCATTCGTTAAAAAGTTATGCGTGATCAAAGTTTCTATCTCCATCTCCCTCGCACTCCCTTTACCTGAGTAACGGGTATCTGATAGTCGGGACACCCGACTATAGCGTTCTCTCTTGTTAGAGTTATTGACATGATTCTTTCCAAATCGTATTTTTTATGCATACCTTGATCAGGGTAAAAGCGCATGCCGATTAGACGTCTATATCCTATAGCTCCCATAGGAACCATAGGGTAAAATCGGTCCAAATTTGATGATTATCAGAATATTTCGCGTGTGTGTAAGCTACTGACATAAACTTTTTCAAGTCTTATTTATTTATGCGTATCTTGATTAGGGTTAAAGCGCTTGCCGATCAGACTTCTATATCTTATATCTTCCTTAGGAAAAATTGTTAAAGGCTGCGAAAGTATCCCTTTTATTTTATTTTGTATGACATTTTGGCAGTATAAAAGCAATTGACATGAAACTATGAAAATCTAGTTTACTTATGTATACCTTACTCCTTTCGCTACTTTTTCAGTTTTAGCAATTTCAGCAAAGTCTGCAAGGGTATTAAAACTTCGGCTTGTCGAAGTTAGCTTCCGTCCTCGTTATATGACGTTTTTGCAGTATAAAAGCTATTGACATAAAACTATGCAAATTTAATTTATTTATATATACCTTATTCTTTTCGCTACTTTTTCAATTTGATCAATTTCGGCAAAGTCTGCAAGGGTATATCTTCCGTCCTCGTTTTTGGATAATTTACAAAATATTCTGCAAGGGTATATCAACTTCGGCTCCGCCCTTTCCTTTCTTGTTTTATTTAATTTCTGAAAACATTTCAAAGCAAAGTTTCCGTTTTTCTAGAAAACCATTTGTAAATTGACCCAATTTTAATTATACCCTTGTAAATAGTATTATATTTTAGTACAGAAGTTGAAAAGTTAAAGAAATGTCTTTGGACGGTAAAGGTTTATCCAATAAAAATCTATTAACACATAAATCTATATAAAACAATTTTCAAACAATTAAAATAAAACAGTTATGGATTTCGAAACCATTTCTAGGAGATCTTTTATTTTTAATTTTAAAACTTAAAATGAATAATTTTTTCTTAGAGCTTTCTTCATTAAACACTTGGTAAGTCCGCTTATAGTTTATTATTATTTCTTATTTAAGGATCATTAACAACATTAACATCAGTTAACAACATCCTTAGCATATTTTTCGTTCGTTTGTATAATTCACCACCCAACCTTAAACTTAGATATGTATACATAAACTAATGGAATGATTCTGGATGTGACGACAGGGCGTTTGGAGTTGTGGTGGAGATGGTGTGCGTGGCTTTGGACTGCTTTTGAAATTCTCTCAAGTTCAATGAACTTCTTGTGCAGCGCCGAAAAACAGTTTGCTCGAATGAGGGTGAAGGCACTGAAGCTTTGTTGGAGGTGGAAAGACTCACTTTCGTTCTCAGTGCAGGATAAACTTTGGAGATGGTGCTTTTTCCGCCAGTGAGCCAGTTTATGGCACAGACTGGTGTCTGTGTCGATGGCAACGTATGTAATTGTGTTGACGATTTCATGGGGTTCTTGAACTTTACCTCGGCTAAAGAATTGTTTTCTTGTTCCGATTATCCAAAGTCAGCAGGAGGAACTTTAAATTTTCACCGCATTGTATTATACCCTTAAAAAGTGATTTGATTTGTAGTCTTGTCAATTGGGGCGAACGCTAAACTTTAGTTTATATGGCATCAAAAACTATAAAAATGTGGACTCAGTGATTTAGCTGAGTTCCACGAAAAAGCAATATACGCAAGTGGAAACCCCACTGAAATAATATAATTGAATATTATGTTGGAGTGGGAGAGGAATGGGAATTAAAGCTATTTTTAAAATAGTATCGTGGCATTAGAAAGCCTCTTTATTTGGCTAAAACTTTACCAAATACAACAGTTGTGTAGATTGTAATGCTTTTGAAAAATTGGCAAGCTTTAGGCAGACGTAACGTTTTTTCAAAACACTATTTCTTTATTAAATGATAAATAATTAAAGTTTATTAATTCATTGGTCTTCATTTAAATTTGATTATTGGTCTATACTATAGTATACTATAGTTTTTATATATAAATGCAATCTGTGGTGCACTACCAATTACGCAATGAAACATTGGTGTCAAAAAAAATTTGTTTATATGGGTCAAGCTACTGAAGTCGAGTCAAAAGGTCTGTGTTGTGAATGTTTGGCTTCGGAAAGCCAACCCCTTGTAGAAACACACGCACAACATTGAAACTAAAGCAAAATGATGATGCACTTTCCACCCTCGTCGACCCCCACCAAATAT